TAGTATAGAGCGACACTGGCCCTCTATCATGGAGCCCAGAACTGAGGGAGAAGCAAGGTGTAGGTTTCAAAGGCTAATGTATTTCAAGTATTCAAATGCCCTGGCGGTCTGGTGTCGTTCCAGCACCCAGGGCAGCTATATAAACAGGACGAGAGTTCGGGATATCAACAGCATTTCCAGAATCTCATGTCTTTCCCAATATCATCACCCTCTTCCTCCTGTCATCATGAACGTAAGGTATATATATGTATATGTAAGTAAGAAACACACTCGCTCTACCTCCAAGCCGCCCGTCGTCATCTCGTCAGGCACCAATTCCCAATTACACGCATTAGTAGTACCTGTCATTTTGCGACTCAGCATCGTACCCGTAACCCCGGGGCCCCGGTCCGCGTTGGTTATAGTTGTAATTTTGAGATGGCGGAGCGGAGTACGTTGACTCGTAGTCCGATTCTGCTATCCGGTTAGGCACCGGGGCAGTGTTGTTCCTCTGAGGAGCATAACGAGGGGGGCCCCTCTGAGGATACGGCCCAGTGGCACTTCTAACAGCGGTGGGATGAGGTTGTACGGGTTCGTACTGGGGTGCCACAGAGCCGCTATACCTGCTAGAGGGTGCTGGGCTATTCCGGCCATCATTGCTGTAGGCGTGGAAGTCTGATTCGGCTCCATATGCGGATGGGGCTGAGCTGGAGTTTGAGGAAGGGTTATAAGCCTGGTAAGCCTGGTAGGGCGGCGCTGGGGATGATGTGTTGTATCCTCGCTGTGATGGTGGTGCAAGCCCCTTGTCATATCCGCTATATCCGCTATAGTTTGACTGAACGGTAGGACGGCGAGTAGGTGGATGGAAGGACGAAAGTGGTGGACCTTGACCCATCTCAGCAGCTGCATCAAGGAGGGGGGCTCTAGACTGACCAGTGCCTGATCGCGAGGGCACCGGGCGATTATGTCCGACGCTGTTCGTCATTTCAATCCCCTCTGAACTTTCCGAATAGGCCACCGTATCGGAGCGCTGGAGCGATGGCATCGTGGGAAGAGCATCAGGGGAGATAGGCCCCACGTTGGGCAAGGTTGGAAGGGTCGCGACTCTCTGAAGAACAGGCTTGTCGCCCTTCTGAACGGTGACGTATTCCTCCTTCATCAATTGCTGCTGACCCTTGGCAAGAGCTCGGTTGACCTTAGCAGTGACAACCTTCTTCAAGCGTGAGTTGACTTTGCGTTCACAGTATCCGACAAGGCCGCCATCTGCTCTCGGAATCCAGTGGCAGAGGAAAGTGAAATAAATGACAACTGCAGTAAGGAAGAAGATGAGACTGAAGACCCAAATAACGAAGGTGAAGGCCATGGCACCCAACATAAGTGCCTGCTGGTAGTCTTCATTTGCCAGGGCACCGATCTTCTCCCAAAACTTGAGAAATCCATTCCCCGCGTTTTGGTCGCTCACGTCTAGCTTACTGACGTACACGTCCCGGAAGGTAAAGGCATTGATCACCTGGCGAGGGCCTGAGCAGATGAGGACCCGGATCCAGGCTGCACACAACACTGTCAGTGAACCATGACGGAGATCCTTGGAGCAAGTCCACGGGCGAAGTACACTTACACTGCAAACTAAAGTATGTGAAGAGAGCCGCGTATTCGGCACCCTTTTGGCCCTTGGTCAGTTCGGCGAAGACGAGGAATCGTTTCCACCCCTGACCAGAGCCCATGCGGATGGATTCCCATCTGACCGCCAGAGGGTCGAGATAACTTTCGGCAACATTGTTCCTCTTTATGACGCGAACAGCGCGCCATGCCTCATAGGCCAAGTTGATAAACGATAGAAGAATACATCCCGAGAAGATCCATTTGGAATACCGGAATGGGATACCGGGTTGAATCTTGGACGACCACTTATCCAAGATGAGCAGATTGACGGCTGTAAAGGAGTCGAGCGCATAGACGGCAACCGAGATGAAAAGCAATAGCCAAAGCCAGAAGTATGCGAAACCAGGACCACAACCCCTGGCCTTGAAATCGTTCAGGTTAATGTAATCCCATTTCTGGTCGGCACTCTGGTCAAGCTGCTTTCTGCGATGGTCGAGGTAACCCATGTTGGCATAAATATACAATTGACGTCTGTGTATAGAGATTGGGTGATAAGGCGGAATAAAAAGAGAGTACGGCCGGCCGCTTCGTGGGTATCCAGAAAGACTGCGCGAATGATTTGAATCGTGGAAAGAAATGGAAAAAAGGGTATCTTTGGAAAAGAAGATTGAGCTCGCTCAATCGTTGTCGTAAAAGCAAACAAAAAGAAGGTCGTCCTCGCCGGCGAAGCTGCGACAACGCTGTGGGTGGATTGATCAAGTCCGAAGAAAGGAATCGTCTACCGGTTCTACTGCTGGCCTGCCACGCGAAATGGACACAGGAACACGTGAGGATCAATAGAGCAAGAATTGGGTTAGAGGAGAGATGCCATGCTCTCTGGTGATGATGGCGATCCGCTTCTTGTCCCGTCTTGGATTCTCCTTGCCAGTGACAGGGCCGCGCTGCGCTTGGTAACGAGACGGGTGAAAAATAAACGAGAGAACGAAAGCGACGAAGATAGTGGCTCGTTGAAAAGGCAATCAAGCGAGCGAACGCTTGGACAAGCGGTAGGAGGGTCGGGTGTATCAGATTGTCGGATGGAGAGACAGGCGTGTCATGCGGGTGTGGCTGTTAGTGGTCGCCAAGTATAAAAAGCAACGAATAGATGGAGAGTGAGTGGCTGGGTTATGCGGCAGTAAGGAATGAATGGCCAATAGATATTGACAAGTGGGCGGCTGCACAACAGATGCAAGAGAAACAATAGCAAAGAACACAAGTGGTGTCTTGGGACAATCACGGCGAGGGGAAATGGATGGATGGTCGGGGCCTGGACACTGGAATCCAGGAAGGCACGACCAGGGGCACCAGATCACAATGGGTGGCAGCCCCTGTCGCTCAAGGCACATCAATCAATGCATTGGTTCGTCGCCGCTGCAGGGCAGGTTGGCGCCCGCTGAGGAGCCTCTGGACAGGCTCCATGCAAATCAAAGCGGATGGATCAAATCAAATCAAACCAACGGCACCGAGCCTCCACTCCTGATTAGCAGTGGCGGCTTGGCGAGGGCGGCCCTCTAGCAGGGACACAGGCGATGAGGAAGGTGAACAAGAGCATGTTGCCTCTGCGCTCGAGGCCTTCAGTGGCTGATCAGCTCTGTTTCGGGGCGTCTCCGGTGCCTTTGGGGTGCTCTCCTCCCTCCCGACAGCCACCCGTCAGTATTTGCACTTTCGATCCCTCCTTGGCGCTCCCCATCCTCACCACATGCAGCTTAGCGCTTCAGCACGGCCGTTTGAGGAGCAATCCAGGTCCAATCCCAAGCCATCGTCCAGGCCCCTGATAGGCTGGGCAGGCTGCCTCAGCCAAGGGGCAGGTCCCTTTGGTGGGATTGTGGCGCGTTTCGAAACCCCTTCCCGCCAGCAGCGTGCATCTGCTGCTCTCATCATCGCGCACGTACCACCACCAACTGGCTTGCGGCGGGGCACCAGACGGCAGTCCACGACCGATCGACACTCAATGCTGCTTCGCTTTACCTCATTGCGTTTGAGATTGGAGAGGGCAGTCAGAGCGAGCCGCCATGATACACGCCATGCCTCCCAGACATTACCGCAGAGCGACGCGCTAGTTCAGCCGAACCCTTCCCAGAAGCCGTCTTGCCGTCCAGTAAATTAGCTGAAACATTTCGTCTCAAGCCTTTTGGGCCGCGTTCCTCGTCGCCAATCCTGAAACGGCAGGCAGGTAGGTCGGCGTCACCTAAATGCCGCTACACGCAAGTTCTCGACTTACCTTGCTGCGATGGGACGCTGCTCTCAACTTCGCCCCAGCCACTTCCACTCATCATCAACGCTGTGATGGGGGGCTGTAACTGCATATGCAATAAGCTCACAACGCAGACAGGTAAGACTGGATACTATTAATACTCCATTCCTCGATATTTGGTGTTGCTTTCTTTTTTAGAATATGCAGTGCCAGCCTGTTCGTTTTGAATAGTTCGATGTGCAAGCGTGGGAGCCCGTCAGTAATGTGAAACAAGCTGAGAGTTCTATTCATGTTGAAGGAATGGTGTGCCATGGCACAATTGGCATCTCACCTGACCTGTCATACCCCAAGGCTGATTTCTTGCCCCTCGGTCTATGTTTGGACCAAGTGAGGAAAGAATCCGGAAACTTTCCTTCTTAGGAGCATTCAGAACGTAATACTGCGTGCGACAAACCCCAACTTAAACCCATCTCTCTAAACTTGTAGATGCGTTGCTGGTTTCTTCAAGTGCTCTCTCTCTCTCTCTTCTCTCTTATCTCCTCATTAGCCTGGTTTTTGGGTGGATATTTGAAGGTGGAGCCTGCTTCGTCCGCCGTTGGCGCTTGCAATAAATTAATTGCCTGCAGAACGAATGGAGCTCATTGATGGATGCAAGACAATTAATGTGGGAAGCTATTCATAGCTTTCAACCTCCAGCTCTCACCGAGATCTACCACCGAGTTTTTCAACCCATCTTCAGTGGTGTAGATGGCTCCAGCATTGGCTGCCTAGCTGACCAAACGCACGAGTGACATGTTTGTGTAACCTGGACGAGATATCATAATTGCTTTTTCTCCCCTGGCCTGTCAACCCCCTTAGCCCCAACAAGCTGTTCGCCTCACTCCGCCTTCATCTAGCCGCTGTCATGATCATCCATCAGGCTGGAACCGCGGGGTCCAAGGCAATCATCCGCACCGCGCTCCACTTCGTAACGGTTTGCAGCAGGCGAACAGCTTCCAGGCGAACGACGGGCATCAACACGCACAAGGCAAGCTCATCTTCGCACTGTTTGCGGATGACGTAGTTGAACCGAGCTCACCTATCCAAGACGTTCCGTGAATAGTTGTTCCCAAGAAGAATCTTCACCCCGATACTGGCATCGAAGCCGTATCCCATATTCAAGAGCGCTTACCAACAGTGGAGGAAGATGGATAGTGACGAGTCCGACTTCTACGGTACGTATATCTCGCCTCTAGGGTATATCGTAAAAGTCTGCTAACAGCTTTTCTCCAGGGGAAGATGATGGCATCGTGCCTGAGCTCGAAGAGCGTATTGCTCGATTCGACGTCGACGAATGGGCCGAAGGCTACCGCCTGAACCCAGCCCGTCCGCGCAAATCCGCAACCCGCGTCGCGGACGGCAGTTCCCATTTGCACAACCCGTACGCGGGCGTCCCATACGCATGGCAGCTTACTGAGTCCTTGGATGACTTCCTTTCCCGCCTGCCTCCTGCGACGACGTCACAGGCCGACGTGCCCTGGATCTACATCTGCAACCCGTATCTTCCCGGCGTTCCGAAGGCAGAGAGCGACGGGGCTCAGCACACGGGCGAGGGCAACGGGGACGAGGGACCGATCCAGAGGGAGAGCGACATCCGGCTTGTAGTTGAGGCTGGCATGGAACGGCTTCAGATGGCCAGGTCGTTTCTAGAAGAATTGTCAACTATGAACAAGAGCAAGGCGGTCGTCGAGAGGGAGGCTACCAAAGCACGGCAGCACGCTGTCTCTGACATCTTGGACCTAGCCCATGCCGCCAAGGTCCGGGCAGGCAAGGTATGAAAACAAAACTCTCACCTCAGTTATTTCCTAATTGTGAACTCGCAAGCTTCAACTGACACATTTGTTCTCTAGTGGATGATATTCTGCACGACCCAAGAGGTAAATGAAGTGTGGGAAATCGTGGCCAGAGCGACTGCCGCAAATCAACTGGGTATCGCTGCAAAGGTAGCCCCGAAGCCAGTCGAGGAGATTATACGAAAGGACCGTCTCATCTGCGTGTACACGTCGGACTTCAAAGATAAGGCCGATGTCGGCCGGGTGTTGAAGAAGCTGCGTGAGCTCAAGCTTGTCGAGGCCAAGGGGCGGGCGGTATATTACAAGCCCGGTACGTTCTATCCCACACTAATCAGATGAATCGCAAGAGTTGCTAACGCGGTACAAGATGCATTTACCTATATCGGTATTGGGTATGGCAACCCCTGGGGCATCAAGGCTTCCCTCTACAGCTCGTGGGACAAGTTCCCCAATTAGGTAACACCTTCTTGGCTTCATCAGACGAATAAGCCGGGTTGTTTATTTTGGTATTGGGAGTTTAGCGACGGAAATTTAGCAGGCCATACAACGGATCTTTCTTTCATCAGTTCCACACCTGGTGTATATTCGCGGGCGGTACAAGGGATTTCATGGTAACGTTGATGCGAAGGGAATCGGAATAAGAGACCGTGCCGGGCTACCGCCTCAGTAGATAGTCGACAATCGTTTCAGGTCTAGGGTTTTTGCTACCCAACTAGGGCCTCCTATCACCATATGTAGTCAAAGAGAACAATTTACTGTGACAATCCAGTAAACCACTTGGCTGGATATGAGATAGTCAACTGAAATGGGAGAGGGGAAATAAATATTTCGTGAGATTTAACTTACTTACGTCTGTTCAGTTATCTAAACGATCTTATCCGTAATCTTCTTCAAGAGAGCCTCGTCGACCGCGGTCACATCCTCCAATAGGCAGCCCAAACCATTAGGTAAGTTCATCTATTCTTGAAGCTATTGTCAACTATTAGTCGCTAACATTATTGTGGAAGTCCCAAAGTAGGGAGCGGCGGATCGAGACGGGGAGAAATGTGTGTCATCAAAACACAGCGTAAAACATTTGATAATATGGTGGCTATATATTCAGGATTAGCTAGTTAAGCGGTTGTTTAGAAGGTATAACTTAGTCTTAAGAGCTTTTGATTGCAAGTCATTATACACTTTGAAGAATTAAAGGATCTCGACTGCCTCAGGTTAATGGTCATGCCAGCAGTTCAAATGCTCAAGCGTATGACACTATCTGTCATCATTGGCAATATTCCGTTGCAACCTTGAATAACACCCACTCGGCTTCGGCTGACCTCCCAACAATTAATTAAAGGATTTCGTTTGCCTCAGTTTAACGGTCATGCCAGCAGTTCAACTGCTCAAGCGTATAACGTTGTCTATCATCATTGGCAATTTTTAGTGTACAAAGTTCAGACAACACCCACTCAACTTATCTGTTATCATTGGCAATGACAACAAGGTGGGTGTTGGATGAAGAAAGAATTGTTTCTGACTTCCATGATGATCCACGTGTTGCAACCTTGAATAACACCCACTCGGCTTCGGCTGACCTCCAAACAATTTATCAAAGGATCTCGTTTGCCTCAGTTTAACGGTCATGCCAGCAGTTCAACTGCTCAAGCGTATGACGCAGTCTTGCATCATTGGCAAATTTCACGTTACGACTTTTTGTGTACAAATCTCAAACAACACCCACTCAGCTTCGGCTGTCAAGGACTCTTTCTTGCGGGAGCATAGACTAACTTTATAGATTTCAGAGCTGCGACCACGTCGGCTTTTGGGTACAAGAGACAATGACAAATAAAGTTATTGTGACTCATAGGCGTAATTTTTTTTTTTAAAAAGAGAAGAGAAAAACTCTGTATGTTAAGGTATATTTAGTGTGAAGCTTGTGGTGTTTTGTTGTTAGCCACGACAGCTAAAGCGGGCTCTCGCGATCCCTCTATCCAAGCTGCCTAGCTGTCAACCCAAATAGCCCGTAGTTACTCTCATAATATGGCTTTCTAAGCCTTCGCTAACATCTTCTTTGGCCTGAGGGTATTTGTATTGGAAATCGGGGACTTCGTGGTTGGGCATCCTGTGGGGGGGAGGAGAAGAGAAAATTGTAAGGATGTGTCAAATGGCTGAAAGAAAACATGGCTCACTACAGCTCTTTCCATGCAAGGCAGGGACCTAGCTTCCTTATCAATAACACTGAACACAATGATAAAAAAGGGAAAAAAATTATCAACGCTATTTAGGTTGGTATTATGTTTATTACTGGGTTAATTGTTCTGATATTGCGTTCAATTTCGACACTGGAGGTTCTAGGTGGGTGTGCCATGTTTGTATGTTAGTCGCTTGTGAGTGTCATGGGGCGATGTATGTTAGAGTTCTTTGCAGGACAGGCTACAAGGGAAAGCGAATACGATTAAGTAAACATTGGCAATGTGTGTCGGGACTGGCTTTCGTGGCTGCTGACATAGCCACATCATAAACCCTATTTTGAAAGTTTCGGCGTTAATCTTGGTGTTGTTATTACAATGAAATACTTTCTCCTACAGGTGTGCACTGACACTGAAGACTGAAGCGCAGTATATTGTTCTAGGGTAATTCTCGTATCTACCTAGATAGTGTACATTTGCCTTTTCATGGATTGCATGCTGGCTTCTTGAGTGATAGCTGAAGCCTTGGCAGCCCTGTTCAACTGAGTGCTCGGCAATATGTCAAAGGCCCAGTACATCCGACAACTACGCAATTAAATTGATGATCATGCCACCCTACTCCAAGCCGTAAGCCATATCTACATGTACCGAAAGGTCACATATGAAAAAAGACTGGTCGACACCCTGCGCCCAGGGGCTGAGTCGTGTATTCGGGCAGCCTCGTCCAATCTGTTGATCAAACGGACATCTTGATTACTTCAACCAATCAAGGCCTCAGCCACAAGCGAGTGAAGGTGTCTGACTTATGCAGTCATCATTGGTGATGTCAATTCACACAATGCAGCTGAGAATTACAGATGTGGCTTGGCTGCATCACGAGCTCCTAATCCCCCGCCCCATATGCATCTCTTTGCACATTGTATTTTCCCATCGGCAAATTCATTACATACGGGAATCTGCATGAAGAGATCTTGCCATTCCATTCCTATAATGATAGCAACTTGTTTTATGATCAATTAATACATTCTTGGTGTGCAGGTCCAGCCCATACAATGGCATCTGAAGAATCATCAGCTGTGGCAACGCCATCCTTCGCCTCCCAGGTCTCGGGCTTTTGCGCCTCTGTGTAGACGTCTGCTACAAACCTGGCCGCCTCCGCCAAACGAGAAGTCGAGGAAACGATCGAGGATATCAAATTCAGTCCTGGCGAGGTAGACGACCAAACGAAGAACGACGTGCTGGATACATCTCGCAAGCTGCGCGGCCAGCCGGGTTTGTGCACCGGGTGCGAGTCGTTCCCGTCCGAGGACTTCAGATCTGCCACCGGAGAGTGCCTGACCTGGACCACACCTCTTTCAAGAATCATCTACCATTCTGGCTGGTGCCAAATGTGCCACTTTTTTCTCGACATGCTCTGCCGTCTGGAGAACAATCCGCTCAGGCATCCCGAGGTCGCTCTCCATCTTCAAGATGATCTGCGAGACATGTCCATGTCGGAATGGTTAGAGCAGGGTTGAAAGTACACAAATGCCAACTGGCCCTTCGGCAGGGGCGAGCTTCGCGCTGAGGGTGCTACCTATCAACTTGGCCATGCGAACGAGCAGTCAACCGTCATGGCCCCTTACATGGGCTCGCCAGCTAGTAGCTCAACTAGCATCACCAAGATCAACCGAACCAAAGTCAAAACCTCGGAGTGGCTGGTCACCCATTAATAAAGGCAGGAAATCGCTAACGTGCCATCCGAAAGCTGGCGATCTAGTCCTGAATATGATTCCAAGCCAGGACCAGAACATCGCCGGGATGATATTTGCAACTCTTCTTGGGTCTGGAAGCCGCCCCGATGTGTCAATTCAACGAATCCGGACACCTCTGACTCAAAGTCGAAACATCCTCGAGATCTAAGCCAGCCATCCGTCAAGCTAAATCAAGATGCAGCCTATATCATTGCGCCCTTCGAGAGCACTCAGGACATACCGAAATTAGCTTGGTCATATTGGGGCTGGACCTTCCAAGAGAAGGCTCTCATATTCTGCGGTAAAGAAGTAACGTGGCACTGCAGGGAAATGATCTGCCGAGAGGACATGGTGAATGATGATGCTGAGAATCGGAGCAAGCCTTTGGGGTGGCTCCGGCTAAGCCCTCAGCACTTCCAACTCTTCCAGTGGCCAGATCTGTTCTAGATGGATGGGAGCACTGTTCGAGACAAGAATGCGGAGACTCATCCTGTGCGATCCAGCGCAATGGGTGAGTATGCGAGAGTAGTCGAGGAATACTCGAGTCGCCAATTAACTGACTGACAAAGAAGATGTCATTTTCGCCTTGCAGGGGCTATTGAACATCCTCTCCGGAGCCATGCTGACAGAATTCCGGTATGGGCTTCCGGAGAACCTATTCGATGTCTCAGTGCTATGGGCGCCCAGGGGAATCCTGAAACGTCGCTCTGCCTCGAATCCCTTCCCAAGCTGGTCGTGGGCAGGGTGGGAGGGCACTATGGGATACGAAAGCTGTCTCTCTGTGAATAGAGATACCGATGGAAGGGCGATTAGTGCAAAAAATGCTGAGCTAGGAGAGGAAGGTATCCGGCCCTTGATACACTGGTTCGCCCTGGTCGCATCTAAACGTGGGTTCCGCCGTCTGGATACCGTTCTGGGAACGTTGCCGGAGATACCTCTAGAATGGGAGGGGAAGCCTTACGGCTTTCCCCAATCCACTCAGCTTGAAACAGATTGTGGAGGAATTGAGCGGAGTAAACATTGATAGGTAGGCATCATTTGGTATTCCGGACGAGTTGTGCCAACTGCAGCTTACGGTCGGGCAAGACCGCTGGTGGTTCCTACCCGACAGTGACTGGGTTGACTGCCCATATCATAGGGCTTAAAGACACTGGGGGGCCTCTCTCAGCCGATATCAAAGATTCCGAGCATTAAAGAGTTGGCCACATAGTTCTAGATATAGAGCCTCCAACCGGAAGTCAAGAGACCGTCCTAGTTATCATCGCAAAGTCACAGTCATTTCACTTGGGCATTCAATTCCAAGATGCCGAAGAATACTCGTGCTATAGGGTAATGTTACTCCAGAAAGACCTAAACTCAAAGATATTCGAGAGGTTGGGGCTGGGGAATATCTGGAGGACGGCATGGATCTTTGCTTAGACTTCCCTTAGAGCAATTGTACTTGGGTGAATGGAACGGATTGTAAAGACACGCAGATATATCTTTCATACACTGCGAGATAGACGAGAAGCTTACTCAGCCACCAACAGGGCTGGTACAAATAGAGTATTGGAGTTTTCGGGTATTAACCATAAAAACCATAGAAAGGGAACTTCCGATACATGAGAGATGAATCTAGAGCCAAAAGCAAGTCTCAAGGTCGAGGGCCTACGTAGTACGTTCACATATAGAAGGGTTGTGCCGGGACGGTCCGGTTGAGGTAGTGGCCAATGCTGCGTTGACTTGCTGCTAGCAGATGACTTCTTTTACACGCTCTGTCAATGCCGATGGGAGGCAGTAGGAGAGGTCCCCTTTCTTTCATGGCCTCCTGGAATTATCCGCGGTGGGATAGAAATCAAAATTGGCATTGTTGAAGATCGGACTCACAGAAGCACCTACGCCAAGAGACTACCGACCGCTTGGCGCCACTGATGAACCGGTCTGTGAACCATGAAATATCACACCGTTGTCGTTCGTCTCATGAGCCGGAAATGATGCGTTACGGTGATGTAATGCCGGCAATAAGAAAGCACGAGATCGATCCTGTGAGGATATAAAAAGAAGGGGGAGAAATCAAAGCAACCCAGCAGAACGGCCAGAACGAGCCAAGGATACGGCATCCGTGCTAAAAGCTATGATCTTCAGCTGAACCGAGACGCAGAAAGAAGCGAATCGTGACTACAGCTTCCCCCCTTGTTGGTTTGGTAGTTTGGGAGAGGCGGCCAGGCGGTAGCCTCCTCCAAATCTCCGGATCGGCCCTGTGGGTACGTACAATGAGCCCATGGAAGAATTCTATGTACGGCGCAGCGGACAGAGAAGGCCTCATACGGTGCGACGAGAGAGGCCGAGCTTGGCACCTGGAAGTCCGGGATGCGTTTGCCACGTCTGCAGGTCTTTGAGTCAGTTGCTACTCCTGCCCCTGCGCCGTTGAAGGTCTCCAGCAGCGCCAGATCAGCATTGTAGGTTTGTCGTGATCCGCCGCCAGGCCTAGTACGGGCGATAGTGCGGGCGATGCCTCGTCGATGCTCTGGGACGAGGTCGCTCGAGCAGGAGAGCAGACGCTCTGTTTGGCTTGGGGCGGTGGACCCTGGATTGGTGAGAGCTGCAAGGGCAGAGCCGGATCCAGGACCAGACAAGGGTTTAACGGCCGCTAATGGCTTGAGGAGGCTGCTGCGGGTCATTCTGGCGAAATTACCCTTGCGGCACCGAGCTCCAAGAACCTTGTGGAGGGAAAGGAGTTCTTCAGGAGGTCCCCAGCCCTCCCGCCCGCCTGAGACGTCTATCCAATTCGCTCGCTCACATTCATCCGTAGGTACTGGCGCCTCTCCAGACAAGGAATCCGTACCTGCGCACTCCATACGCGCATACAGCGGACATTCGACATGTACCGTACATCTGAACCCACATCCCTCCCCCGTTAGTATGTCTTAGCACCTCATCCGTCCTCCCCATATCCATCCACCACCCCGGCAGCGGTCCACAGACAGTCCCAAATCTGTGAGGTAAGAGCTTGGGTGCGCCATGGGATGAAATCCGGTAGAAGTGGAAGGTAACACAGCTAGTGCTGGCCTTCTGGATCACCAAACCTCTGACTCCAGGATCCGTGCCCCATTATGATTGCTGATCAATACCTGGGCGCCGGTCTCATTAGCCACGTACATGATAGCTCACACTTTCCTCAGTATGACCAATGTATTTTTAGACGCCTTTTCTTTGACCGTTCCGGGGATGAGAGCACCAGAGGGTGGAGAGAGCCAAGTACTACCTGGAAAGTAGCATCGTCCAACCTACCTACCTGGGTATAATGCCTATTGGGATCCAGGACGCGTTATTTCGACGCGCCCGGCACCGTCTGTCTACCTGCCATGTAACTCGCTACGGGCTTCCTTCACCGCGCCGACTGCTGGGAAATTCTCTTCACCTATCGGTATCTCAGCAGCGTTGCCTTGCAACCAATTTGCCTCGTGGATCCGCGGCCTTGCGAGTGTTTCGGCCAAAGTGGGTTTCGCATCCGGAAAGGCCATGGGTACGTCAGGTCATAAGCAGTCGTCGAATCCTCCCAAACTGGTAGCTGGCTGGCTAGCACTGATGGCTCAAGCCCGCCAACATGAAGGTCATCGCCCGGCGCTAGATGGTGGTGTTCTCCAGCAGGAGTAGTGCAACCAAACCAACTCAGGCAGATCCATCTGGCCCCGAGTCCACTAAACTGCCCGTCACTCGCATCCTAAATGGTGGGGAGTGGGACATTGTGCATGCTAAGGGCATGGGCCAGACGATAGCAGGAGTTGGGCAATGGGCCGGCGGCTCCCTTCCTGCCGTGGCACTCGTCGTGAGGCATCCTTCTGCTGTGGCCCGAGAGAGCGACGGAGATTAAGGTGCGTCGCTTGCCCAGATTCTCGCTCGGCCTATTTACTGACCAGCGCGCCCATCGATGGAGGAGCCCGGGTACGAAAGGGGGCTACCGGGGCGGATATCGTCCCGGGCAGAATGAATAAAAACATCAGACCTACTGTATTTGTCAGATGGCAGACAATAGGCAGACAGTAGAGGCTTGCTAGCTAGTCATTTGGCCAAGGGAGATGTGCATGCCACTCTCTCACCAAGGACATTACATATTGTCCGGTGCGGAGTCCCATTGCTGCTGTGCTTCTGCCATGCAGCTGCCCAGAATCCGTGCCTGCATCGATGCGCGGCACTGGCAGGTGCCGTCACGCAGCGCATTAGCAATTGAGAGGTAATCAGCACGGCAAAGCAATGTGTATCAGAGCTGTGAGGTGTTGCGCACCCAATCGCCCAAGGTCTGAGATGGATGCAGGTGTGGTACTTGAATTGATACCCTGCTGTTAGCGGAATGGATCCTAGCCAGAGCTCTACACTACCTGCACAATAGTACCCTACTTGGTGTTATTTGATAAATAGCAGAGGAATCCACCGAAATTTCCCTTCTATCCCCGTTGGCCCCCCTTCACCTCCCATTCGGCTTGGGGGAGAATCATTTCCTACCAGCCTTGCCTTACTTGCTGCCTACCTCCCAGTCCCCAGTCCCAGACGGCCACTTGTGGAGTATCTCTTGGCACCTGCACATAATAACCCACCAGCGCACTCGGGGGGGAAGGGGGGAGCCGAATGCATGACTTGGGACAGTAGGCCAGCATAAGCAGGGCCAACGGCAGACAAGTAAGGAGGCCGTCTTCACACGTATGCTCTGGACAGACGGACTTCAATGCGCAAGGTTGACTCTCCAATGCCCGTTTGTATGCTGCTACTATGTATTTCCCTCATCTGGCCTTCCGCGACTTCCATCCATGTCATACTCGTAGCTATGTGCCTGAGCTTCGGGCGCTCCCAGCAGTGCGACGCTACGGCGCTGCTGGTCGCTGTAAGATTAACCATTCTCCATAAGCGAAAGTCGAATGCCCACACAAACAGGCGGTATGTAGTGTACATCTGGGAGGGAGGCTGGACCTCGGCCTTGTACCTGGTCACCTTGGCAGTGCGTAGCGGTACTTCTGAGACGCCGCTCTGCATGCACAACTCGCGGCTGCTAACCCCCCTGGAGCTTGCATCTGTTCCCTTCCCAGGTACTGTACCTCCACTTCTGCACCAAGGCGCCCCTGATTGGGACTAGACAGACGAGCCGAACCTGGAACCTGCCTCCATTGCCTGGGCACCCTCGCCGTCCCAGTTCATCCGCCAGTCAGTGAGCACAGCCCAGTTCCGTGCAAGCTCATTCAGGTCTCCTTCTTTCTTCCACCACTCCACACCACACCACCCAAACTCGTCAATCCCATCGACCTGCGAGGGCTTCACCCAATTCTCATCATCTCTCGAAGCCATCAGCAGCGAATCGACAATTTGCTCCCGTAACGCTTCGCCCGCGTCCGCCTCTCGATTCCTCGCTGGCTTTTCGCCTGCCAGACCAACCTCCTCCTCCTCCCCCTTTCTCCTCCGTGCTCGTCGCCTTCAGCTTCCAACATGAACTCACAAGGCCCCAGCGAGGTGTCGCCGGAGACAATGCAGGCGCGCATTCAGCAGGCGCGTCGCGAAGCAGAAACTCTCAAGGACAGGATCAAGAGAAAGAAGGATGAGCTCGCCGACACCACCTGTACGTGTCTCTGCAATTGGGCTTACCAACAATGAGCCAACAGACCCCCTTGCTTCGTGTTCCATCTACTAACACTCCATGATCAATCCAGTACGCGCCGTCGCTCAACAGGCTCATGAGCCAATCCCCAAGAACCAGCTGATGAAGGCCAAGCGGACGCTCAAGGGTCACTTGGCCAAGATTTACGCCATGCATTGGTCGACAGACCGAAGACACCTCGTCTCGGCATCTCAGGACGGCAAGCTCATCATCTGGGACGCCTACACCACCAACAAGGTCCACGCCATTCCTCTCCGGTCGTCCTGGGTCATGACCTGCGCCTACGCTCCCAGTGGCAATTTCGTTGCTTGCGGTGGTCTCGACAATATTTGCTCAATTTACAACCTGAACCAGCAGCGCGATGGTCCCACGCGTGTCGCCAGGGAACTTTCGGGGCACGCAGGATACCTCTCTTGCTGCCGCTTTATTAATGACCGCAGCATCCTCACCTCGTCCGGTGACATGACCTGCATGCGGTGGGATATCGAGACGGGCCAGAAGGTGACCGAGTTCGCCGACCATCTGGGAGACGTCATGAGCATTAGCCTGAACCCCACGAACCAAAACACATTCATCTCCGGCGCCTGTGACGCTTTCGCCAAGATGTGGGATATCCGTGCTGGAAAGGCCGTTCAGACATTTGCCGGTCACGAATCGGATATCAATGCCATCCAATTCTTCCCTGATGGCCACTCCTTCGTCACCGGATCCGACGATGCCACATGCCGTCTGTTCGATATCCGCGCTGATCGCGAGCTTAACCTCTACGGCGTAAGTTGACTGTCGCGCATTTCATCCGTGTCATCAAAAACTAATATTTCCTCTAGTCTGAGTCTATTCTATGCGGCATCACATCCGTCGCTACCTCCGTATCAGGCCGTCTATTGTTCGCCGGTTACGACGACTTCGAGTGCAAGGTACGTTTTTTCCTCGGCGTGGAGACGGATTACCGGTGGCTTTGTATGGAGTACTAACGTGGGTCAACTTAGGTTTGGGACGTGACTCGTGGTGAGAAGGTTGGCTCTCTCGTTGGACACGACAACCGCGTGAGCTGCTTGGGAGTTAGCAACGACGGCATCAGCCTGTGCACAGGTTCTTGGGATTCACTGGTAAGCTTTCAGCGTCACATTGGACTGAAGAATCCAACTAACACGCGTTGTACAGCTGAAAATCTGGGCGTACTAAGTCGCGCCTTTAATCGATTGATGGAAATCCTGTCTAAATCTACGAAACCAATCCGTGCTGCGACCTCATTTGTCCGACTATCTGCCACCGATCAGGCACGATCTCCTAATTATCCAGAGCGAGCATATCGATGACGCTTATCTAGCCATGCGACTATTGGCACGCATGACGACTTGACGAAATCCGTACCTTTTCATCACATACCGCTTTTCTTTTCCCTTTGATCGACGAACGAATCCCATCCTAGCCACGAAGCCGCAATAGTGCTCCACCACTACCGCGATCAGTCTTCATATGGAGGTCAGCCTACACAACACCTCCCCATTATTTTTTCCTTGACTTGTTCTTTCCGTCGCAACTCTTGAGATGCGGCTTTGCCTATGGTGCTAGGCGCTTGTATTACATGACGGTTTATTTCTGTTATTCTTTTTACTATTTCCTTGCGTCTCCAATTAGTCCGGTCATCCCTTCGTGACGGATGACTCTCGGAACTACTTGTTGTGTTTCATTCTGTCCCACCGGAAAGCCTGGAACAAAAGAAAAAAACTTATTACAGTGGTTGTTGTCGGAACAAAACGGGCTGTCGCCCAGAACTCAGCAAGTAGGTGGCGGGTGTGTGGCGACAGTATTGGCAATGAGGATGTGCCTCAAGATAATACACTACGATGATCCCCTAACCTCTCAATGGCCCTTGTCCCTGTTCGTCTGCGGATAATTTACAATATGGTCTTAATAGTGCTGTGGGTGAAAATGGAGAAGGAGGTGGGAGGGCCGGGAAACTATAGGCTTCCCGGATGTCTGTGAACGTACGAAGGAGGGCGGGGTTTGTTGCGAGAAGGATGCTCTTTGAACGAAATACGAGTGACGGTGTGGAGGATACTATACCACGGGAGAGGTGTTTTGTCTCTTTTGACTTATTTCTTGCCTTGCTCTCTTTTCATTTTGTCGCTGATGGTTGCTTAACCCTCGGTTCCTTTTCTCTTCTCTGTATTCTGGTTCTGACTGAGACTTTCGCAAAAAAAAAAGTTCAAAATATGAGAGAAACGTGTTCGTGCCAAATGCTTGTGTTGTGCTTTCTTGGGATAGGACACTGCGTGATCGTTAATTTGGTGCCTTTGAGCGAAGAGATATTCGGTCTGTGTGCTGGTATATCTGATGCGCACATGATGAGATGTGTATGGATGTTGGTGTCTATCTGGTGAGGATATCTATATGTTGCTGTCGTTCTCTAGTCGGTCACATGCGGGTCGCCATCTACGAATGAAGGTGCCAGCACTTGCTTCCAAAGACATGCGGTTGGGCTTTGCTTGGCCACCCAAGTAGAAGATATAATACTATACTCTACAGCGTCACGGGCCATAACTATTTAGTTGTGCGCTTCCCCAGTGTGGTTGTCACATATTCGCAATCAAAATCACACGGGTCGGCAACGTAGATGCTCACCTAACTCGGACTAAATGCCGTCCTCGACGAGTGACGAGTTAGTACCAAGGACGGGGTAAACTAATTTGCCGCAAAGCGAAGGTGACATGTATGCATGAGGGGTCCCTCGAACTATTGGCGTTAATGCATGTGATTCCGATCGGATATTACGACCCTTTGCTGACTGTTTAAGGATATCGCCGAGTGCGGTTGATTGTAGCTTATCCGGCAATAGGCACATGGGATTTCGAGCTATATGCTTGATATCAGATGGATGGATAAGTGGTATTCGCGATCCTTATGGAAATGGCATTCATTTTAATCTCTTGGTAGCGGAACTTCGGCAAGGCATGTGTGGCGCATTTGCAAAGAATTCTTGAGTCGTCTGGGTTCTTTACACGGCGGAACCTGATTGAAGCATGCAACCCTGACCTTACGAGTATTATCCGATCCATGTTTTCCGTGGCTAGGAGAGAAACGAGGCATCTGTTAATCGCATCTTCTGGTTGGACCTTGCTATAGGGTAAGTATGTGCGCATGGGAATGGAGGGGGACCTTACAGCTGTAGAATGATGCTACGCGTGTAATTGCCTTAGCGGGTGGTGTGAGCTTGTTCGCCATGCCCCACGTCAAGTGCTCCCACTACAGGAGCGGGGGACATAGCTATTGGTTGCTGCTGCTGGAGGTCAAGGTTGCTCTATCATCCATCCACTCGTTCATTCCCGCCGTTCACATGCAACGCCGTGTGTGAACTGATATCCCAGCCTCCAACTGCCCCTCCCGCCAGAAGGCCTTGGATATCCCATTGGAGCTCACCTCAGTCCTTTGGATTTTGGTACGATTCTTATTTTACCTGCAACATTCTGCCTGGAACTCCTTCGCCAGATCAAGTGAAACACAAGCCGGTTTCGCTCAACGTTGCAACCATCGACCGTCGAGCTCGCACGACAGCCAAGAAAGCAGCCCAAGATGTCCCTACCGTCCCAGCACCCGCCGCTCCTCCTCACAAAGCGCCTCACGAGCTTCCTGCACGCCAACCAGACCTCCCAGCTGCCGACCCTCCTCGTCGCCACCCAGACGGGCAAGCTCCTCGCCCACGCGAGCCCGAACCCCGTCTCCCTCCTCCGCACGCACGCCACGGTGGCAGCCTCGCTCTTCGCAATCCACACCTCCTCGGCCCCCGCCCTGTCCGCCGCCCTGCCCGGCGGAGCGCACACGCCCGAGGGGATCCCCAGCTCACCCCTACGCGGGGACGACTACGACGACGACGACGATAACGACGCAGACACATACGACGAACGGGAAGAAGAGGAGGAGGACAGCCGCGGCAGGCCGAGACCCCCGCCGGTGGCACCGGACCCGTTGAAGCCATCCACCATCACCGTCCAGCTCAGCGGAGGCACCGTGCTCATCCGCCGCCTCAAGTGCGGCCTGCTCTTTGTGTGCGTCGGCCCGCCCTCGGCCGACCACGGGGACCAGCACAACCATGGTCACCACGCGGTGCAGCACCTCGACAGCGGCGAGCTCGTCACCGCCGCCGCCGCCCTCGCCGTGTCGACGAGCCCCAGCGAGGTGGCCAGCCAGATCAGCGTGGGCGGGCAGTCCACCTCGAGCCACGACAGCGTCGGCGCCGCCATGGTCGTGGCGATGCGGCGGCAGGCGTCCGACCTGGCCAGGTGGCTCGACGACAAGCTCGGGACGCTGGCCGTTCCGGAGGAGGGCGTCGGTGCAGACTGATGAAACCTGACGAGCAAGCAAGGACGGACAGGGGGTTTTCTGGAGATTTTTGACTTCTGATTTTTCAAGGTGGCATGGGCGTTTCAGGGGAGATATATCAACTAGCATGGCTTGTTGACGCATATTAATGATCGGACAATTCTTCTTTTCTCAAATTTCTTTTCTCGCATGGTAGCGTTTATGACGAATACAAATAGACCTGGAACCTTTTTTGAAAGCTGAATGCTTGTATCTAATTACATACTTGGTATCTTTTTGTTGTTCTACAATGATGTCACGCTGTAGAAGTGCTCAAATAACTAGTTACACGAGGAAATGGTGAAAAAAATATGTCGATAACTTGCGCTCATAATACTCCAATACCAACGCCGTTTTGATGCAGAACCCAACACACCTCACCATGATCCACTACGAGCCTTCTCCCCTAGATGAAATATCGTCTTTTTTAGGGCGGGGGATGGTTATTCAATACTCATTCGCATGATGCCTTCGTTGGTATCTACCATGCCTTGGAAGCCAACTCTCCCTTTGCCATTCACTCTGGTAGGGTTGGTGGATGCACCGCCATTGCTCCCCGACTCGCTCGGGGCGCTGCTGCCGTTCTTCTCCCCGCTGTTGCTGCTTGGCCTGGAGTGCAGGTGGCCCGCGTCTCGCTGCATTGGGCTTTGTACGAGTGGGGAGTTGTGCACGCTCATGCCGGGACTGACGGCACGACGTTTGAAGCTGACAGGGTCGAAGTCGCTGTCACGGCGGCGTTTGTTGTTGATCCGACGTGTGATCTCCGCAGCGCTCGGTGGTTGGTTTTGCGGGAACTGCATCTCTTGCCGGATTTGAGCGAAGCCAGGCGCTACAGCTAGTGAAGGCGAGTCCATTGATATATCATCATAGATATTTGATGCGGATGCGGAACCCCGTGGTACTATTTGAAGAGCCAAGGGTGGTGGGCTCGTCCGGCCGTTGACGCTCCCGCTATCGGAAAAGGTGTCCCAGAAGTTCTTGCCCTTGGAATTTTTCATCGCTTGTTGTTTGAAGCTGCTAGATAGACCGAGAGCCAGATCTCCCATCATGTCGTCTTCGGGAATGTCGTCTAGGTTCTCTTGATTGGGTGAAGAAAGACCGGGGGCGATGGTGGACGTTGGGGTTTCTGCTGATGGGACGGGCGGTGCCCTACGAGGCTCAAGCACATCGCTTTCGCGAACTTGTTTGACTACCTCCGCTTCGCGTTTGAACTCAGCCTCGGCTGGTGCACCCTCCTCTGCGAGGACTGCTCTTATTCGGGCAAAAGTCTTCGTCTTGGGCTGTGCAACTAGTTAGCAATCATGATTTCCCGATATATAATTGTTTTCCTGCGACTCACCAACATATTTCCCCTCCGTGTCACTGCCCGACGAATGACATTCCTTGAACCATCGCTACTCGTCCCATCACCTTCGTTCCCCTTGTTGGCTTCATCAGCGGCATCTGCTATGTGCAATTGATTTGCCTGCCAGCTAATGCTTTCTCGTCTGGCGTTGGTGGCAGCGTTGTTCGGAGGTGAGTTGGAGATACTTGAGCCCCCGCTGTTGAACCCTATCCCCATGGGGACGCGTGTCTTCTTCTTGATATGTTTGCGGTGTCTTTGGCGCTGTTGGAAGCTCATCAAGCTCCCCGCTGCTGGTGACCCGAATGGAGGCTGGCCCACACTTGAAATCGTCCTGTGTACTTGAGGTGTCATGACGAAGTTATCCTCCATATCTTCGTCCATCGGGTCGTCTTCATCCGAGGAACTGGACGAGTCGGAGCCAACCGCATGCGCACTACCTAGCGAGTGGCTGAGATTCATCCGCTCCCGATTTCCCATCATTGACCAGAGTGACGATGATACCTGCTCCGGACCTCCAAAGTCGCCCCGACGAGCCGGGATGTTCATCGCCTTGCCGGCCATAGTCGGCGACGCATCCGGCGAAGACTGCCCGGCCAGAGTCGAGTGGTGGAGACTTGTCGCAGCCCGGGAGAAATCCAGGCCGCGCGACCGTCGAGGGACGATATTTGTGGGAGATGCATATATATGGGAGTTGTCGACCTGAGGAGACAGAGGGGCGGCCTTGATGTAAGCGCTTGAGGTAGCGGGCGGCGGAGTGAACTCTCTCGTGGGCATCTGGAGCGACAGACCGCTAGGGGGGAACTCTGGACGCCGGGGCGTCACCGGTGTCGTGATATCCCGGAGGCCGCTGTCATCTTTCGAGGTTCGTCGGGATAGATCGCCGAAATTGGGTAGGGAGGGGATTTTAATCGGCGTGCTTCCGCCGTCAGAGAGCGATCGGCGACTCTTGGACTTTGCGATTGGCGATGGGCCAAGAGCCGGTAAGCTATTATCTTGTTTGGGAACTTCCATGTCGAGATCTCGACAAGAACCGAGTAAGCGTTGGAGATTGGAGGTGTTTTCTATCTGTATTTGCCTGCATGCAGCGTCAAAATGACGTCGCGGTGACTTGGGATCATTGGTTCGTGGTAGCCAGGTGTAGCTGCGGAGGATTCCCACGTCGATTTGGAGAAGGTGGCACGGTTGCGTAGGTAGGTAGAGAGTTTGCTGAGATCAAGTGGGCGTAGATTTGGATGGATCAGACTAGGCTCGGGGAACAAGATATCGGAATTGCCTGGGAAAGCCTGCTTCTGCAATTCATAATTTAGAAAGATATGGTTGGCGGTGGTGGAGAGAATGAGAGAGCCAGAGGGCGGTGGGAGGTGATATGGGGAATTGGACGCGCCATTGACACTGGCATGGATATTTGGAGTACTTTACAGCGGCCAGCGGTTACCAGCAGGAACAAGCAGGAGGCCTGGGTGCTGTTATCGATAGTGGTGGGGCAGTTGTTGTTGTTGCGCCAGTGGCTTCTTAATTCGCGAGTGACGGAATGGCATGCCTGCTACAGCCAGCGATGGATGGAAGACCCATCGTCCATGGATCAAGGGTCGAGGCGCATGGGTCAAGCAATCGAGATAGGTGGGGTCCAGCCCAGTTGCTGTTTGGTTGACGTAGAGTTGCACATGCAAATAGCGGGTGGGCTGGTGGGCGCTTGTTGGGCAAGGTGCAGTACGATCTCGGGTTTTAGAACAAAATGCTCCAGCTTGCTGAGTCTCCGCAATCGTGCTCGTAGATTCTGCCAGCTCCAATTCCAGATGAGTGCTTTTCAAGCATTGAGACGTCTGCGAGCCATCCAGAACTTCTTGATCCGCCCAAGCACCGCCGCTGCCACCTCTGTCCCAAACCCAACCAGTAAGCACCCGCGCTCAAATCAAGGTTCCCCGCGTGCATTTCGCTCGTGTCGCTGTGCTGGGGCTGACCTCTCCCTCTCTCCTCAGCAGCGAATCACACTCGCCGTTTAGCAACCATGGCGGCTACCAAGACAGAGAACTACAAGTTCAACCACACCATGTAAGAGCTGGCGGGATGTACAATGAACGACCATGCTTATTAACCAATTGACAGGATCCGAGTCAAGGATCCTAAGGAGTCGGGTAAGGCTAGCAGACAGCACCTTGATGTCCACCTCGGTGTTTCTATTGGCTAATCATAGAGCCCTTGTCACGTTCAAATAGTCAAGTTCTATGAGTTCCTAGGCATGAGCCTTATCAAGAAGCTTGAGTTCCCCGAGGCCAAATTCGATCTCTACTTCCTGGGATACGACAGCCCCAACGCCCTCTCCCACGGCAGGTCCGTCTTTGACCGCGAAGGACTCATTGAGCTGACGCACAACTATGGGACTGAAAACGATCCTGAATACCAGATCAACAATGGTAACAAGGAGCCTCACCGTGGCTTCGGTCACACATGCATCAGCGTAGACTACATCCAGGCTGCTTGTAAGCGTCTCGAGGATGCTGGCTATAAGTTCCAGAAGAGGTTGGATGAGGGCCGCATGAAGTACATCGCCTTTGCCCTCGACCCCGATGGCTACTGGGTCGAGATCATTGCCGATGGCAAGAAGACTCTTGAGGAGATGGCTGAAGTCAAGACATCTGATGTCTCTACTTACCGAATGGTACGTTCTGAAGTTTCAATTTGAGTAAGACTTGTCCCCCCCGGGCGGGCTAACAATCCCCTAGAACCACACCATGATCCGCGTCAAAGACATCAAGAAGTCACTCGACTTCTACCAAAATACGCTGGGCATGGCTCTCCTGCGCACAATTGAGAACCCGGACGCTAAGTTCAATCTGTACTTCCTCGGCTACCCAGGAGAGCAGGGTATCGAGGCAGATGGTATCACCAATCGCCGTGAGGGACTTCTCGAACTCACCTGGAACTACGGTACTGAGAACGACGAGAACTTTGCCTATCACAATGGAAATGACCAACCCCAAGGTTTCGGCCATATCTGTAGGTCTTCTTGTGTTCCATAGAGCACTGCTTGCTCTTTTTCTTCGGACGAATCACTGACCTTATTGACCAAGGTGTGACGGTGGACAACATTGAAGCGGCATGCAAGCGCTTCGATGATTTGCAGACCAATTACAAGAAGAGGTTGACGGATGGCCGCATGAAGAATGTGGCATTCCTCCTCGACCCAGACAACTACTGGGTAGAAGTTGTCCAGAACGAGCGATTCACTGGCCAGGACAACTTCTGAGGGTCGCACACTGCATAAAGGGGTTTGTAGCTCAAGAGCCGTGGGATAATTGGGTAGCTAGCTTGTGTATGCAAGGCGCTAATGAACTCAACACGCAGAGAACACGTTTCAGATCCTCTCACTTGGCCGTTTGTATGTAATGTGACGATAGAAATGGATGTCCAGGGCACCTCCTGCATATGCATGGGAGTTGCACTTGCGAATGGCACACTGCGAGACACTGCAGCGGCTATCGGTTTTCAGGGAAGAAATGGCGTCTTTTCTGCATTTTATCGGCTCACAGGCCCGGATCCTCAAAGCGAGAGCCGTGCTCTAGACGTTTTGCTGTCATTAGAGACCCCAATAACGCGGGGCTCGTGTACGTGCACTTCTCGACTAGAAACGAATCGCCACATGGTCCCGAGCGGGGGAAACTTAGCGTCTTCTCTCTTCTCTCCTCTCCCGAGACATGATAGGTGCTCTGCTGAGTCTCGCGCGGGGGTGGCTCATGCCGGTCGTCGGAATCCGGATGCGGTGAGCCCAAACGTGGGGAAAGGTCGGGCTTCTTTGAATGCGGCTTGTACGTTTTATTGGCAAACTGCCCAAACTCTAACCGCCTCGTGCTCCTTCGCATTGTCGCACCCTTGCCAGCCCTCCTTTCCCGATGGAGCCGAGCTCGATGTTAACGTGGGGGGTAGACTGATGAAGCAATCTTGAATGGGTAATGCCATTAGCTGAGCGGGATATGGCTCGATATCGCCCCAAAGCAGCCGCCTGCCGCTTCCCTGTGATGCGTCAGGTTGGGGTGTGATTTGCTCAGATTACTCCGGCAGTGTAAGTGTAATTGTGGGTGACACGCGCAGATGTGAGGCCACAAATCCTCCGTGGCGACGTCGTCACCACTTCCCAGCTTTGCCTAACAGTTATGTATATCTGTTCCCCCTCAGACCTTTCCTCTTTCGCGCCAAACCTTACCATTCTATCTATTTACACCTCGTCGTGTATTTGCCCCCAATATGGTACCAGTCGCCACTGAAGGCTCACATCCTCACTCCCAGGGCTTTGCTCGCCCTCGGATCCTCGTGCCTGAGAAGGTGTCCCCTGATGGCCTGGCTATGCTCACTCCCCACTTTGATGTGGACAACGTTGTTGGCCTCTCCCCTGAGGAGCTCATTCGAAAGATCCCCCTCTACGATGGCTTGATTGTTCGTTCTGAGACCAAAGTGACGGCCGCTGTCCTCCAGGCCGGCCGCAAGCTCAAAGTCGTAGCCAGGGCCGGAGTCGGCGTCGACAACATCGACGTGAACGCTGCTACCTCGCAGGGCGTCATCATCGTCAACTCACCAGCGGGCAACATTGTTGCTGCTGCCGAGCACACCATCGCGCTGCTTCTGGCTACTGCTAGAAATATAGGTAGAGCTGATGGCACCATTAAGGAAGGTAAATGGGAACGAAGTAAGCTTGTGGGCATTGAAGTCGGGAGGAAGACCCTTGGAATCATCGGCCTGGGCAAGGTTGGCCTCAAGGTCGCCAGGATGGCGAAGGGGCTGGGAATGAAGGTTATAGCTGTCGACCCTTATGCGAGCGCCGACATTGCCTCTCAGGAAGGTGTTGAGCTGAGACCCAGTCTCGACCATATCCTACCCGAGGTTGACTTCTTGACTATCCACACTCCTCTGCTGGCCACCACACTGGATCTGCTTAGTGAAGAGGAGTTCAAGAAGATGAAGAAGACGGCCCGAGTTCTCAATGTTGCGAGGGGCGGGGTCTACAATGAGGCGGCCCTTCTCAAGGCATTGGACGAAGGCTGGATTGCAGGAGCTGGCCTCGACGTGTTCACATCTGAGCCCCCGACGGCCGACTCGGTCGCTGCCCAGCTGACGAAACACCCAAAGGTGGTTGCGACACCTCATCTTGGAGCCTCTACCGTGGAGGCGCAGGAGAATGTCTCTATGGACGTCTGCACCCAGGTCCTCGAGATCCTCCGCGGCGGCCACCCGACGAGCGCCGTCAACGCACCCATCATCCTGGCCGAGGAGTACCGCAAGCTCCAGCCCTCGGTGGAGCTGGTCGAGAAGATGGCCAAGCTGTACGCCCAGCACTACGTGGGCGGCAAGGGAGGCATGATGGGGGGCCGCAAGTTCGAGCTGATATACCACGGCGACCTCGCCACCATGCCCAACACCAAGCCCCTGTTCGCGGCCCTCGTCAAGGGTCTCCTGGCCTCGTTCAGCACCTCCCACGTCAACATCGTCAACGCGGCCCTCATCGCCAAGGAGAAGGGCATCATCGTCAGCGAGACGTACGCGAGCGACACCAAGAACCTCTTGTTCGCCAATATGGTCACGCTCCGGGCCCACTCCAACGGAGACGACGGGGAGCCGGTCACGGAGCAGGTCATTGAGGGGTACACGTCCGATCAGCGAGGTTTCATCACGAAGCTCGACCGCTTCAACGGCACATTCGAGCCCGCTGGAACTCTGATCATCCTGCACAACTACGACCAGCCTGGAAAGATCGGGGGTGTCGGAATGGTTCTCGGGGAGCACGGCATCAACATCAACTCGATGCAGGTGGCCAGCCTGGATCCTGGCCGGACGGAGTCTAGGGAAGCGAGGAAGCGAGGTGCCACGGCAGATAATGAGGCCCTCATGATCTTGGGCGTGGAGGGGCTCGTCAACGGGCAGGTGGTGGAAGACCTGAGGCGTTCGGAGGGTGTGTTGGATGTCAGTCTTGTGAGGCTGTAGATGAGAGATTCCTCAGATCAACAGTTGGGATCGAAGGATGATATGTAGACGCTTCTTTCAACAAGATACCCCTTGTAACCTTGTACACGAGATCATCTGAAGTGCGTGGAAATGCCAAGCAGCCCTGGTTCCCACTGTGCTGCGCGAGTAAGGGTGTGCCTGAGGGTGCGCTTCAAGCCATGCAACGAGAGAGCATGTTTATCAGCAGGATCATTATCCATCGGGCTGTTTTGTAGCAGTGGTAACGATGAGTACCTACCTAGGTAATGACGCTGTAGGCCTCTTACATAGGCTGTAATTCGGCACCTGCGAGGCACTGGGCGGTAGACAATAAACAACTAAATATAACCTCTCTTAAACAAGAGCAAAAAGCTCTCGATTTGGAGGGAACCTCGAACCTTGGATTTAAGAGATTCATGCTCTGCCAATTGAGTGACTGGGATTTGGTGTATTACACATCGGCGAATTGACCGATTGGCCATGGACGTATGTAAGACATATGTTACATATTGATAACTTGTTGCTGAACGCATATCTGGTCATCCGAATATTGCCCCGTTGGCGCAATTGGTTAGCGTATCGGCCTTTTACAGTAAGCCGGTGGTTGTGAGTTCGAATCTCACACGGGGCGCTTTTTGCTCTTTTTGAATGAACCCTGATCAATGAATGAAAAACTTGGAGGAGGCCTTTCCAGCCCGCAGACACCAATCCCTATCAAGGTGCCACGACTTCGGCGACGACTTTATTAACGAGATTGGCAGAAGAAGTGAGTATACTTAGGTCCTCTTAGCACATGGATAGATTATGAAGAAGAAAAAAAAGGCAAGCACATCGTTGTGGTATGCTTCCGTAACTCGTTATAGTACATAGTAGCGGCCGAGCTCGAGTTACCTGCTGGAACGGAAAGGAGGAGATCGTGGCCAAGTGGCTGAAAATCCTGGCACATGTACATTGCCAAAGTGTGGCAAAGTGTATTTTTTACGGTAGCAAGATAGACCGAGCAGGGCTTCTCATGTACATCAAAGTCCGTAGCAGAGGCCACCGCCTTCTCAGCAATCGAGTACATGCGAGAGCGAAAAGAGCCTCGCTGCTACATACTTCGCAGATGACACCAATGAATCCTATGGCTCTCTAGGTATCTTAGACCCGATGCAATGCAGGGGACAGCCGGCTATTAGCAGCCAATGAAATAGGTACCCGATGGCGCTGGGTCGAACTGTTCGGCATGGTTCCAGGGCGCCCCACTGGAGGGGGACTTGTGCTGCAGGGTTGTGCCAGCCTTCTTGCAAGTGAGTGCCCAGCCTTAGCTGTCGTAAGCTCTAACCTTCCTTCCATTCCCTCCAGGGCTGCAGCATTCTTCTCGATTGCTCTTCGGGTTGCTCATCGTTCTCTGCGTCTCCTCCCGCTGACCACCAGACGCTCGCTGCGGCAGTACAGGTCATTCCATCCAGTCCGCGAACCTACAGCCCTCCCTCTAGCCAATAGGAACATCTCTGGTGCTTCACCCGCTGGACCCCAGTAGCGCTGCGCGAACACACGCGAGGAAAACGTCATCATCGCCCTCGTCAATCCGACCCGAGACCAAGCACCACCGTTTTCTGCTGGTCCGAACGCCAACCTTTAGCGATCAATTGGCATCGGACAATCGCACGCACCAGACACTTCCGGCGTTGCTCTATACATTTCTCATCCCATCATCGATACTAGGAATTTTTTCTCACGTCAATCTCACATCGCGGGGACAATCGACATGGTGCGAAGGGGCGCACCCGCAACGGGCGCGGCGGCTTTTCGCCCTGCAGTCCTTTCCATGGCACGACTCGCGAGCGTGAGCATCTCAGCTGTTGCCGCCGCTCCGCTGACCTCTTTCGAGGCCGAGCATCACGATGAGGACCCGACACCTATCTGGGTCCTGGCTGTCGCTTCGATAGCTCTTACATTGGTTGGAGGTGTCTTTGCGGGTCTTACAATCGCGTAGGTATTTCTAGCAGTATTTGCACTTGCGACGATGCTAATTGGCACCGATACAGATTGATGGGCCAGGACAGCATCTATTTGCAGGTTCTCTCTGGCGATCCGACCGAACCTCAACACAAGAATGCTAAGCGTGTTCTTGATCTCTTGGGCAAAGGCAAGCACTGGGTACTCGTCACCTTACTTCTGTCCAATGTCATTGTCAACGAATCGCTGCCGGTGGTGCTTGACCGCACTTTGGGAGGAGGTGTCGCGGCTGTTGTTGGTAGCACGGTCCTCATCGGTGAGTTTCGACAGCCTCATGTATCACCCGGCTAGGTAGTGCTAATGCGCCGGCTTCCAGTTATTTTTGGCGAAATCATCCCCCAGGCCGTCTGTGTCAGGTACGGCCTCCCCATCGGCGGCTACATGTCCAAGCCTGTCCTCTTCCTCATGTATCTCATGAGCCCACTCGCGTATCCCACCGCCCGACTATTGGACTGGATCCTAGGCGAGGACCACGGTACTACATACAAGAAGAGCGGGTTGAAGACCTTGGTTACTCTGCATAAGTCGTTGGGAGAGCTTTCCGAGCGTCTGAACCAGGATGAAGTCACGATTATCACTGCTGTTCTGGACTTGAAGGACAAGCCCGTTGCTGAGGTCATGACCCCGATGAAGGATGTCTTCACGCTCTCCGAGGACCATGTTTTGGATGAGAAGACCATGGACAAGATTCTCTCCTCGGGCTACTCACGTATCCCCGTTTATCGAACCGGCCACAAATCCGACTTTGTCGGCATCCTCCTCGTCAAGACCTTGATTACGTACGATCCCGAAGATGCCATTCCCGTTCGTGATGTACCTCTGGGTGCCGTTGTTGAGACTCGCCCGGAAACAAGCTGTCTGGACATCATCAACTTCTTCCAAGAAGGAAAGTCGCATTTGGTTCTGGTCTCGGAATTTCCTGGTGGAGATCACGGCGCTCTCGGTGTTGTTACTTTGGAAGATGTTATTGAGGAACTGATTGGAGAGTAAGTCAAAGATTCACAGTGACAATTGACAGGCATTTTCTAACTTTGAGCGTCTAGGGAAATTGTGGACGAGTCCGACGTTTACGTGGACGTTCATAAGGCGATCCGACGCTTAACCCCCGCACCCCGTGCCCGCCGAATTGAGGCTGCCGCCGCCGTTGCGGCAGTAAAGAAGACAACAGAACACCCCGTTCTCGTCGATATTGCCGAGGACACCGAGGGTAACACCCTGCAGGTCGGTTCTCTGGGCGCGATGAGCGACAGTGGAGGCCAGGACACCAAACGACCGAGAACGGCCATTTTCCTGAAACGCCGCAGTTCAGTCGGCCCCGATGGCCGTCTGGAAGACCACCCTGTACCCATTGAGGCATCCCTCGAAGAAATGAAGCAGCAGCTTCGGCTCGGTCCCGCGAATCGTGCGGCTAATCCCCTCACCGCGAAGAAGAATGTGTTCAAGATTAAGCAGGGCCTCCACTCAGCTCATGCCAGCCCCAGTGGGAGGGAAGATCCCATATCTTTTGATGCCAAGGCGAAAGGCGCTGCTAGTGACGAGAGAACTCCACTACTAAGTAAACAGGCACATGACGAGGATGGTCAAGGGTCGAAGGCGAACGGAGCTCATGATTCATAGTATCTGGGGAGGAGGGGAGGTCATGGAGAGGTAGAGCGGATGGGAAGCGACGGTCAAATTGCACGAGGAGTTTAAAATCATTAGTATTGTATTGTCCGGTGAAGAAAAATATCCCAAAAGATGATATGTTCTAGAAACTCAACGTTACTTCAAGGACCACCATAACCCCCCCTGGTCCATTTACGTATGTGTTTTGTTATTTTCTATACCTTCTACTGCGCAACAGAGCCGGTGCATATGATTGGCGTTCGGATGAAAGAGCTGTGGTTGCTTGGGCATCAGGGACTTACATTATTTTTCCTCTTTCTGGGGGCATCTAATAATCCCACTTTTCGCGACAAGGGACCCATGGGATGTTGGAATTCGGTTGTTGCACCATTCGCTGTCACAATACTGCCAAGGTTGTGAAGAGAATGTGACGAGCCGGTCTGGGGCTACCTACCTAGGCATTGATGTGTGTTTCCCCATCAAGTTCAAGTGCAAGCCATGTTATGTTCACATGCCAAGAATTACTGATATTTGACATGTTTCCTTGAAAGCTGATGCTGATAGTGGGGCATTGATGCGGAAACAATTGTTGACTTGGCTGGGTGGCCGGAAGTATGGAATACGACGTACGAGGAGGTAGAGGCAGTGAAGCAAAGGTAAGTTGGATTCTTCCAAGGTCAAGAAGTAACCCTGGCTACGAACATGGGTAAAAGTGTGCTATTATACCGAGCTAGAACTTGATATCGTTCAAGCCGTGCCAGCATGTTCATGTACAGGGCAAGACGCAGTCACGCAAGCTCAGAAGCTTGGAAAATTCGGGATTGATGGATCGGATGCACAAGCGAGTCATGAGGCGGGCGGTGTAGCCATGGAGGGATTTTAGTTGAAACACGTATTCGCTCGAGCCGGGAACAAGAGCAAAGCCCGGCCATTCCTTGCATGCAATGCAGCCTGGGCGCACGACACGACGTTGGCCGTGTCAAATGGCCCCCCGCATTTCTCGCGATAAGATATGCGGTTGTCGTGGGAGGCGTCGCCACGGCAACGCGCGACCCATAAACAACCGGCAAGCCGCCTCCAACGAGCTATTCTAGCCTCTTGACTGCTTCCTAACCCCGTTGGCCGATCCTCGAGAAAACCGTTATCCTCTACCGGTGCTCGAATCTCGACAATGGCTTGAAAACTTAGCCTGCTAACTATTCTCTTGCATTGCGCTTTCTCCCCTTCATTTCTCAGTTGCAGGAGCATCAACCTCGTTTTCTTCTTCATTTTCTATTTACCCACGAGTGGTTGGGGCTGTTTCATTGAGTTTCTCCCGGCATTGGTCCGTAGGAGCTCGGCTGGCGTCCTGCTGCATGTCTGAGCCTAGTTTGTCTCAGCAGCTTCTCACGTACCTACCGCCGATCGATCCGAGGAGATGGCCACCGTCGAAGATACAAAACAACAAGGCCACCAGGGAATCAGGTCCTCCGTCCTCAGAAGCTTCGTCCACCGCCGCCAACCCTCTAAAGGAGAGGCCATAGTCCCACAGCCACTGCAGGCCAGGATTGAACAGAGCCCCGAGAGAACGGACATCATGGGTGTCGGCGTCTTCACCAAGAACAACCCGGGCGCCCTGGGGGAGCTCCAGAAGAATCAGCAGGAGGCAGCCCCCCGCCTCTACCGACAAACTCGAGACGAACTACGAAGCGACCATGTACGAGGACGATCACACTCCCCGACCAAAGGCGTTCTGGGAAGCAATCCCTTCTCTAGAGGCGCCAAGTCTCGCGAGACATCACCATCGAAGCCAAAGAGCAAGACGAGTACCAACTTTGTTGGATTACTTTCTAGACCCAAGTCCCTCAAGAGCCTGTACAAGCTCTCCTCTGAGCAGGGAAGTACCCAGCTTATGAAGGACAAGGAGAACCAGACGCCCGATGGGGATCCTTTGGAGCTGGCTCCACCTACTCCAATCTTCGCTCAGTTCACGAGCGATGCCTCTGTCCGCAACCAGTTTCAGGGACGGAAGAGCATGGAGATGAACAGCAACAGCAGGTACTCTGTCGTCCCTGAGTCACAACAAAACAATAGACCGGCTGTGAAGGAACGCCCCAAGTCCTTCCAGGTGGCACCCAGAAACTACCAACCTCCCTCCGTATCGTCGGCGACGGGTTCTACATACTCCAATGGGTCTAGGAAGGCATCGGGCTCGAACCCAAGCAGCAGCATCAAATCACAAAGAAACAGAGCCCTCAGGGCTCTCACCGGGATGGGCCACAGCCGATCTAAATCGACTATGGCCAGTCCAGTCACTGCAGAACCGGGTCCGGAGCTCATGATTGACCCCAGGGATATCAACAAGCATCTTGAAGCCATGCTAGATAGGCGGAACATCCCCGAGAACCAGAGGTACAAGATGCGAAACCTAAACGACACCATCAAGATGGAGTTCATCCGACAAGATTGGGCAGAGATGCAGGCCGCAAAGCCTGATCGGCCTGGCACGACCGACAGCAGCAACAGTATGGAGGGAACCAGCGCCGTTGCAACCGGCTCAGACTGCGAGGCTGAGAAACAGAAGCGGACAAGAGGTAGGAGCTTCACCTTTTCTCGGGGCAAGAAGGAGGCCAACAACACTTCGCCAAAGAAGAACAAGGGAGAGGGAACTCTCGGACGTCACTTCCGAAGCAAATCAACGGACAGCGTCGTCAGCGAAAAGGACAGACCTACCTCGGTATCCTCATCATCGACCTCCACCATTTTGTCCAAAATCAAGTTCCAGCAAGGGCCGGCCGACTATGTTTCATACCTGAGGAAGGTGCAGCAGCCTGAGCAGGTCGAGGTTGGAAAGATTCACAAGCTTCGATTGCTGTTGCGCAATGAGACTGTCGCCTGGATCGAGGAGTTCCTCGAGCAGGGAGGCATGAAGGAAATTGTTGATCTCCTCAACCGTATCATGGACGTCGAGTGGAGGTAAGCGAGGGAACAACTTCCCTGAAGCACTGAGAGACTTGGTTTGCTAACAAGGACTTTGGTTTCTAGGGAGGAACACGAGGACGCTCTTCTGCATGAGAACCTGCTTTGTATCAAGGCCTTGTCTACAACTGCCAAGGCAATGCAGTATCTCGATTCCATTCACAAGGAACTATTCCCAAAACTTCTCCACCTGCTATTTGACCCCGAGAAGAAGGGCCCGAGCGAGTTCACAACTCGAAACATCATCACGTCGATCCTCTTCACGTATATCGACTCTGCTAGTCCCACAGAGCGTTTGATCAGAGCCAAGAGCGTCCTAGGTCTCATGCGGGACCCGCAGCCTAAGGAGGAAGAACGCCCGCTGGCGTTTGTCCTTGAGATGAGACAAGATAGGCCATACCGGGTGTGGAACAAGGAGGTCGTTAGCGTGACCAAGGAGGTGTTCTGGATCTTTCTGCACAACCTGAACGTCATTGCCCTCCCCTCGACGGACAAGAAGGGATCTTCGCTGTACGATTCAGACACGTGCATATCTGCTTCCAGCAACGATCACTACTCCTATATGATGCGTCACTTCCCCCAGGAGCGCCCACCAGTACCCGCAGCCCCTTACGTTGGCGGTGTAGAATGGGACGCTACCAACTACCTCGCCTCGCACCTTGATCTGCTGAACGCCATTCTTGCATGTACGCCCACGGCTGGGGCCCGCAACGCCCTCAGGGGTGAGATGCGAATTTCGGGCTGGGACCGATGCATGGGTGGTAGCCTACGTCTATGCAAGGAAAAGTTCTATGGCAGCGTCCACGACGGGCTGAGGACCTGGGTCGCTGCGGCCGTGGAGGACGGCTGGGATGTCAAGGATGTGAGGTACGGCCCGCCGCCGGAGGTCAAGAGCCCGCCCAAGAAGGTTGGTGGTGGCCAGAAGCCGAAGGTGGAGTTGGCACCGAAGATCGAGATGCCAAAGTTGGACTTTGGCCTTCCACCTGCGGCAACAGCGGCTGCAGCAAAGGCTGGCACTGATGATGATGGGTGGATCTAGCTGTCGAAGTCAACCTGCATGGTCAATCGTTGTAACCTTTGATTACCTAGGTGACTGACTCGAGGAGGATGGGGGTGTAATGCAGGCACCTCTCGTACTCAGCCCCATCCCTGCTTGTGTCGTATCTTTGGGTTTTCTTTCTGTCTTTCTTTTGTCACATTCTCCTTTTCCTCTCTCCTGAGTCTCAAGGTCTTTCTTGTCATGTTTTTTTTTATTCCAGGATAAATTGGGTTTCTTACTGTTGGAAAACTATGGATGTTAGGGGTTCTCTGCTTTCATGAAGGCACGTTAATGAATTAATGACAATAACAATCAACAAGGCCCAAACTCACTCGTCATGCACGCAGTATCTGATGACGGGTCAGGGGTAGGATGCTCTGCCCATCCACCACCCGTCCCTTGTTTATTTTACAAATTGCCTCTGTGTCGCTTGAAGGCCTCATAGACAGGCACACCCTTGGCAACGTCCTCCTTGGCCTTATCGTCAGCCGAAGTGAGCTTGGGGAGCAGCTCAAGGACCTGCTGCACCCTATCCCGGGGGATGACAACGACGCCGTTGACGGAATCACACACAGCCAGGTCCCCTGGCGCCACAGTAGTGCCGTCTATGTCGAGCGGGACTTGAGTAGCCCAGGGTGTGCTTCCTCCACCGGCACCAACAGTGGACGTTCCGCGCGCCCAAACGGGTAAGCCTGTGCTCTGCAGCTCGGTGAGGTCGCGAATCCTCCCGGCGACGACTATGCCCTTGGCCCGGAGGACCTTGATCCTGAGGGCCATGATACCACCGCAGATGGCGTTGGCCTGGGATGGAGGCTGCTGGAGGACGACGAGGGTGTCAGGCTGGGTGAGATCTGCCCAGTGGACATCCTTGGGGATGTTAGGATCCGGGAGGTTGGAGGGGCGGGCGGCGGGAGTGGCGCTCTTTGGAGCGAACAGGACTGTCGACACGGGGGCGACAGTGACTACAGGAGGTGACGAGGAGGGGTCAGGAGTAGTGTAGAGAGAGAGGTCCGAGATGAAGCCGGCATTGGCGACCTTGAGCTTGAGGAGAGCATCGGAAACGTCGCATGCCGTGTACTGCCGCAGGGCGTTGATGGCGATGTCGTCGTTGGTGGTCATGATTCCGGGGTGCCTGGTATGGATTCTCTCGGCCTTTCTTTTTGTGTTCTTTAATTACCACTTCAAGATATGTAGGGTAGTGGTTAGGACTAATGCAGATGATGTCAAGGGTTATAACGACGTGGGATGGGACAAAATCTAGTGGTTCCCGAGGCCCAGATGGACGGTAAGAGGAGCCACTTGAACGGTACCGGCCGGACGGCAAACTAGGCACTAATCAGATAACCGGCTGAAACGTAGTATATATGCGGGATGGGACGAATGACGAATGACGAATGACGAAGACAAGTCGGTGAACTGGCTGGGGTGACCGAGGATAGACGGAGGGGCCTATCATAGACGCTGGCTGCGTGGATGGTCAGTGACGATGGACGTGCGTATGGTTGTGTTGGTTGGGCATGAAGATGTGAGAGCTAACAGGGACCTGGATACTTGCCATACAGATTTTAGGTGCTGCTACCCCGGCGCGTCGAGCGGAGCTACGGATGACCCTTGCTCTAGCTCGTGGTGTTTGCTCTGGCAGACCGGCCACCACCCCTCGCTTCCTTTCCTCCCATGGCCTCTTACCTGGATCCCGGGATCTGATGCGCATGTACGTACGTAAACACGTTCCAACCAGAACGCTGTCATGCTAACCAGCTAGCCGGTTTGGCCAGCCACAGAGCTGATTAGCCTTCCAATCATCATCTGGTAGTGTGTTTAGCCTCTGCCAGAACCATCGAACCGCATCACAAGCGTGCGCCTTGGAGTTGGCTCCGAGCCCTTAGAGGGCTGTTTAGAGCACCCTCGGGCGGGATTGTCGGCCAGCCGGGTCTTAAAAGCTGGTGCGTGCGCCAATGCCCAAGCCCGGCTCCCGCTGAGACAATATTCATTACTATTTATTAGTGTGCCGACCTGTAGGAACGTCATGGGGACGCAGGTTTGCACACAAACCCCGGAGACTGATGGTAGAGCAGGGCCTGCTAAGCTGTTCCTGGAAAAGGGGGAAGCCGTGAATGTAGGCCTTCTTTTCATGTGAGTGGGAAAAGAGGAGATATTTTACCACCACATACATCATACTGCCAAATAGGCACGACCAACATGATGAGCAAACAACGCTATAGCAGCTGGCTTCTGCGGCACGGGGGCGGCTCCTAACCTGTTCAACCACGGCAATGTGGAGATGGTTCGTTCGAGAAAGCAGGGAGCTGCAGAAAAGGCGTAAGACCCCCTTCCCTTGGAAGGATAGCAATTGGGTCTTCCCCATTCAATACTAATAAGCCCGGCTGGAGCGGGTCCGCCAGGCTCGAATCGGTGAAAGCAGAGGACTCAGAGATACAACGAGCAAAAGGTTTCGCCGAGGAGGAACGGGAGTAGCAAGGTGACTGATTGTTGGCTGGAAAGCGATCAGAATAGCTGGGGTCGAATTTTCTCTTGTCCACACCCAGTCAAGTATTAATTTCCTTTCTTCGTGATCTCACACCCAGGCCCTGTCCTGGGTTTCGTCGAGGGAAGAGGGAAGTCGGAAACATGCTTGATCGTCATCCTCGCCGCGTTGGAGCAGGAAGGTAAATTATACATGCAGACCGAGGTGGATACGCGTTTACAGCATCCCCGGCCATCTACCCAACGGTGACAGTACCTGCTGCTTGTCTCGAAGGAAATTTGGGGGTACTCTATTGATAAATGGCTCACTCAGCCTGTATGGAGGTTGCGGGAGGCGAATGAGTCTAGGTTGGAACCCTATGTGGGATGCAGCGCTAGGTAGGCAACCCTGATACAGCCTGATGCATAAATCACGGTGGAGTGGTGAGCCGAAACAGAAAGACTGAACGAGATGGAAAGGAAAGGAGAGAACCTGGGTGATACTTGATGCAAATGGAAAGAAGTCAGAGGCCGGCTCGCTGAACGTGTATCGCATGGGCAGGTGGCCACTCGAGATATACTTGGTTCAGCTCTGGGATATCGAGTGCAGGATATTGACTGCTTATGGACCACTGCGCCGTACGAATACGCACTTGTCTCAACGTCCGCCTCCGGCACGACATCTGCACCATTGCCTTAGCCAAACAGCGGGCGGGTTTTGTTTTCTGAGGGGGGTCAACGGTCAGCTGTGTCCCGGTTCGCGCGCGTTGCCGAGCAGAGGGAATGACCTGTGACAACGGCCATGTGGGAGGAGATGTGATGGGATTTATAGACGTGCATGTATACAGGTAGGTATATAAATAAAAACAAGATAAAAATATCCGGTTGAAGGTTTGAGGAGAGGCAGGATCCTGATCAAGCACAAAAGCAGCAAGTGCAGCTCGTACGAATGTGGAAGCATCGACTGAGTCGCCCATTGATTGGGAGGTGCGGCAGGTGCGGTGGAGAGTGATGCACCAAGTAGAAAAATACCCCGCCAAAAGCTGTCCACTCGCTGGTGTTCGGCGAATAACAGCAACCGGAGGAGCCTACATGAATCGATGAACCCGGGTTTCCCTGGCCATGTCATGCAAAGAGTGCATGGGCCCTACCTGTGTAGCGGCGCTGGATGTCATGTAGGGTTCCGCCGGAGCCAGAAAATGCCTTTGATAGTCCCATGCACCCTCTCACCAGATGAAGCTACGGATGGATGATGGAGCATGCTGCCCTCGTACCTGGGAGGTACCGCTACTGATGGCTGCATGCTAAACGCCCTACAACCTTTGCACCAGGCTACCTCGCACCTACTTGCGCGACCAACAACGCCCAACCAAGGTTCCAATTCCTTGACCTGCAGCCCGGAACCTAGAGCAGACTTGGAGAGGTCCCAATCCCAAGATCGAAGCCTCAAACCGACCCCCCATCCAGTCACATCATCTTTCCCTCGACCTCCACCGAGACGCGACTTTCTCTCGCCACGGGTCCTCGACCATCTCCGAGCCCTCGCTTGCCTAGCCGCTGTCTATCCCCATCGCCCGGCCCATCATCGTCCGGCATCACCACCCAACAGGTCCACGAACGTTGATTCGGCGGCCGTCCCACGCCAATCGCAATAGATCCCCACCTCACCGACGCATCGTTGCCATCAGCCCAGCCACTCCCTCCCGTGACAGCCTGCCTCCTGTCGTGCTCACTGGCTTGGACCAGACACTTGTCCCAGCATCACCTAGCAAACCCATACTATTATCCATAAACGCAACGCGCGAACCCACCCCACCACATGCTCAGGACTGGGTAGGTAGGTACACACATGGCATCTGATGCGCACACACAAGCACACACCTCGTCCTCTGCCACCTGCTAGCACCTTCTTTGAGAACACACGCATCAGGGACCAGATACACCCGCACCCACGCACGCCCACCGCACACACACAGACGCTCGCACTTACACACAGAGCTAGCTGTTCCTCCTAGCTGTTCTCAACTACCCGAACTTGCGCTTCACTCGTTGCTGGCTTTGCCCAGACCCCTCTCTCTGCTCTCTTCCCCCCTCCAAACCTAAACCCCCAACCTAGAGCACGACCCAGAGCCCACCAAATTCCCAGGCCCAAGATCTCCAGCCCAACCTGCATGCCGTTTGCGCTACCGTCCCTGCCTACCTAACAAGTTCTACAGCACCTAACCTTGCTCAGCCTTGCCTTGCTTTGCCAACCCTGCCGCCCTGGGTCAGAGACGCATCGGGGAAGTACCTGAATTCACTCCAGACAGATCATACATTCACACTAGCCAGGGTCTTTCATAAAACCCTGTCTATGCTTCGCAATTTACAATGTCCATAAAGTAAGCCTCTCAAGCCTTCTCGTTAGTCTCGCGATCCGATCCATATTGTTTTGCCGTTTTCTTCTCTCCCTCTTCCCTCTCTTCCTCGTCTCGCCTATCCGCGGCCAGACCCCGCTACCACATTCTCTCCCTTTCCTGTTCTGTCTTGCTAGTTCCTACCTCTCTCCACGTCCTTTACACTCGTCGCCTTCCCTCCTACCCTCTGCTTCCATTACCAAATTCTCCTCCTCTCTTGGACCTCCGCCTCATTTCCAGCTCGACCACCGCCCCTCACCCCCTTCCGTTCATCTGCTCTAGCCCATGGAGTCCAAGGCCATGGAGCTTGCTGCATTATGAACAACCCACACGACTACCTCATCACGACTCCTCCTCCTCCTCCTCCTGAGATTACCAGTCCTGACAATGTTGCTAGCTGGGTAATGCTCAATCAAGGCGGGTTCGTCAAGCTTGGCAACGAACGCGTGTTACACAAGCTTGATTCGCGCATTTCATGCGACCTGTCCGTCCCCTCGGAACTTCGCTCGCGATGCACGGCTTTTCATAGAAAGAGCGACAAAGGAACGCTCTTTCTCACCAACAAAAGGGTTTGTCAAATCTCACCAGGGAAAAATGAGCGACTCCCACATGGACCCAATCCGACTAACTCACGTGCTGTAGATCGTCTATCTCCCCGCAAAGCCGTCGCAAGTACCCAAATTTGAGTCTTTTAGCGCACCAATCCTGAAATTCCAGGACTCAACCACATCGTCATCAATGTGGTGGGGGTGGGTGTGGAAGTCAGATTGCGTTCCTGTATCAGGAGGGGGTATCCCCCCAGACATCCCGCGGGTAGAAGTCAAGTTCACATTTTCCGATGGCGGAATGATGGACTTTAATGAGACCTACATCCGGCTACGCGAGCGCCTTTTCCAGTTTCAAGAAATGCGGAATGAGATGGGCGCCGGCGCTGAAATGCCAGATGAGCCTCTACCGGCATACGAGGCTGATGATGGTCAACTATCAGTTCCGGGAAGCTCTACCGCCGCGGCGGCAGCAGCAGGACACGGACGGTCAGAGAGCACTGCCAGTCGCAGAGCACCAGACGAGCCCCCGCCCAACTATGACGAGGCACAGGCGCAGCAGCTCAGCAACCGCCTCGAGGATCATATCCGCGGGGAGGCAGATCGCGGAACTAGAGACGATTGACGAGACGTTCGGCTTGGCACCTCCGCGCCCGAAACTACTCTGTCTGGCGAAACGGGCTTCATAAATGAAATGCGACGCCCCTCTATGACCTAGAAATCAGCAACCTCCGTTTGCCTACCCTACCTCACAGCAATCTCACCAGTTGTACATTTCCTGGTTCTTCACTTGGAATATGCCACAGCACGACGAGTCACGATGTTTATTATATTTGGCGTTGGGTTTATCCTTGAGATACTATGTTATGTGCAAAGATTGTGCGATATATCATCAGCGTCTAGTAAATTGGACTATGAACCGCAGCATGGAGCATGAATAAGGGTATTGTTGATATGAATCTTCCGGGATCGGTGCAACAAGGTCCCTTCACGCAATAAATGTGTGCATCCCCGGCCATCGTCAAGTAATTGGCTTTTCGATGATCAGAGGATGTATTTTATGCTTTGGCTCTGGACGCTTTCCCTCAATTCTTCCATTTTTTTTCCTCCCCAAGTAGCCAGTAGGGACGGTTGAAGTATCGACCACGTTGAATAGATTGAAGATACCTATCCAATTGCAGATTACTTTTTAAGAGTCCATCGTATTGGCCTTGAACGGCGGGTAAGAGGTGAACATAGCCAATATCATTGATGAATTGGCCAGTGGCCAAACTACCCAAATGGGACTGATTCAGCTCTTCAGTATGATGCCATAGTGCTTACATATTTTCGAGCCCACGATTCGTATTTTTGCATTATTGGAGGCCAATAACGTATATGAAATAGGCAATGCACTGAAAACTATCGAAGTTCATCGTTTTATACCGCTCGAGTCTTCTATGTATTGTAGAACGAGGTCGCCCTTCAATCTGATGTCTCGTTTATTCTGTCACCCAGATACTACAAGACTAGCACGTGATATATCACGTGTATTGGCTCTCAAGGTGGGACCAATCAAAATGCCTCAATTCCGGATCAGTTTTCGTTGCCAGCGCTGGGCCGAGAGCTTCCGACCTGTGACGATACCACGAGAATCTTTCTCTAGCAACGCGAACAACCCACCAGCACGTCCAAGTTTCCAGATCCTTCATCCGTCACAATGGGTTTGTGGGACGCATTCTCCGAAATTGTCGAGTCCGTGACTCCATGGAGCACCGTCGAGGCTGAGGCTCCTGCCCAGGAACAGGAGGTACGGATATCTCTCGCGGATTTTTTTTGTGCTCATTCGAGCCATTCCGACTCTCCACTGGAAGGCGCCATCCCGGGCTGCCTGCGATTGAAATTGATGCGAATTGGGAACTAATTTCTCTGGTTTAGGAGGCTCCCGAGGACGACTCTAAGGACGACGAGGAAGAGGAAGAGGAAGAGGAGGAAGAGGAGGAGGAAGAAGAGGAGACCGTCGACCCCAAGGAGCAAATCGAGGAAGGTCCGTACATTTCTCACTCTACTTCTATCGCAGCTTGCGATGGGGACATGTCACTCCAATGGAAGTCTGAGCGGGAGAGAAGATCCCGCTGGACCGAACGGGGACCGAAAACGTCAAATCAATGAGAATGAGAACTGACACATGATATCAATTACAGAGTGCAAGAACGCCCCCCAATGTGCTTCCGCCAAGCACCACTTCGACCACTGCGTCGAGCGAGTCCAGCAACAGGAGGAGGATGGTGGAGCCAAGGAGGACTGCGTCGAGGAGTGTAAGTGCCCATATCTCCCCCTTGACCTTATTCATCTTCCCCTTCTCCAGGACAAGATCAAGGTGTTCAAGAAGCTGACCATTGATCGATTATAGTCTTCCACCTCGCCCACTGCGCCACTGACTGCGCTGCCCCCAAGGTGTGGGCTCGCCTCAAGTAAAACGCTTGACCTACTACTAGATCGATAATGAATGACGCGCATGAGATATGTACGCTCCAGTGGCGGACTACCTGGCTGCTCTGCGTTCACGACTAGGGAAGGGATGCCCTGTCCCTTGGTACGATACCGCCTGGTCATTTAGAGACCTCGCTCTCCTCGGTGGTGTGTGGTGGTTCTTGTCTGTATACTATGTTGCGACGCCCTACAAAATAGAAACTTCTGTGCCTATAATACGTTTTTTGTCCCACTCACAAAGACCTGGGTCTCTCGTGGAATGCCTCGGGCTTTCTCCATGCTTGTCCTCTGCTGTCATTCTTGAGCCTCAACGGCTACCCTCGTCCTGTTTGGTATTGGGGTCGTGCGATGGTTAGCCAAACAAGCCTTGTCATACCCCAGCTGGCCGAGGCTGTTTGCGACTACAGCTTTCGAAGCTGTATAGCTCTTCGGAGAAATAGGAGCATATCCGGTAGTGATCAAGGCTGTTATGGATCCATTCTCCCATAGGCCTCAATGGTTGGTGTAACAATGGAGGGAATCTGCCTGCGGGAAGTAAACCTGGCATGATGGCACGGGCCGGATCACCCGATCAAGCTTAATCGAGTCGATGAGGGATCGAGTATCTGATGCTACCCAATGCCGTATACAAGGCTCATACACGCTGGCCAGATGATTGCTTCTGGCCTGGGTTTCCTCGCCCTCATGAGCTAGAGTAGTATCTTGAGTTGTTACCTGAGATAGCTTGCAGAGGTAAGTCACGTAACGTAACTCTGTTTACTGACTCTGAGACGTGGTTTCGTGTCTCGCTCTTTCTTTCTTATATTATATTCACCACGCATGCCACAGGTTGGGCCCCTCCTGATTGGTCTATCCGAAGTTGAACGAAAGACCCGAGCTGAAATCCCCGGCCGGGTCGATATACACTCGCAAAGAGTCTCCCAGTCAGGTCCATGTACTTTCGAAAAGAATTTGCCAGTGGCTGAGAACTTCAGCCCGACCCACTAGGCCTAGAATCACCTCTAGTTGCGAAGTTGCGAGGTTATTACCTACTAAAATGACATTTGAAACACCATCCCCAAAAGTGGCTTAAGGGAAGGCATTGGGGAGGTTAGAGGGTAAATTAGGTACAGCAGAACAGGTGAGCGAGCCATTGACCAGTGCCGTGTCCGCCAACAGGCCACGGAGTCCGCAGAACCATGTAGATGGGCTATGCGCGTGTCCGAGCAGACAGAGAGACGGGAGCGAGGTTGCTCGGAGCTATACGAATCCTACGACACGTGCTGCGCGGCCGTGGCGTGGCGTGGCCATTGAACCCATGGCGGGCATGAATATCAGCACAGCGTGCGAATGAGCCCATGCGGTTGTGGTGCCAGTGCAGCGCGGCGCCGGCGTGGATCTTATGTACTTGGTGCGTTGCAGACCAAAGATCCAAATTCCTTTAGTGGCAGGCTGACTGCGGCGATGGTGTCGCGTTGCTGGTGGCAGCGACGGTGCTGGGTAAGGCTACATACATGACATAGGAAATACAGACTCCTGCAGGGTGCGGACGGTTGGGTCACGCGAGTGGTCCCGTCGGGATGGAAATCTGGCGAGTTTGCAAGAACATCCCATGTCAATACGTAGGTAGGTAGTAACAGCCCTGGACATGCAGAGCCCTGCAAACGAATAACCTACCCAGATTTAAGATTGGCGCAGGCAGAGTCCGGGGTCGCTGAGCAAAGAGCGAATAGCGGGTGCGGCCGCCAGCACATCCCCTCCTGGTCCGCTCCGTCGCAGATAGAACCACGGACAGACAGATACAAGATAGGCTGAAATCACCCACTGCGTTGCATTCGCTCTTGTCATGGCCGTGATAGGCGTGTGCGACTGCATATCCTCCGTCGGAAACAGAAGTCCAACCGCCTGACTGGCCGTCCAAGGTAACCGTTCTAGGGAAGCGAAGGCGCACCGTCAGTCCTCGGCGCCACCCTCTCGCATCAAATCCAGCATCCAGATCAATCAATCCTACCCACCCCCCATTGTCTCCCCTGTCCGTGATTCACTCTCTCGCTTGCTCCGTCCATCTGTCATTCTTCACTCTGTTTCTGTCTATCTGTTCCTGTTAATCTGCCGAGGCTGCCTCTCATTTATCTCTTCGCCATACCCGCCTCCATCCTTTCCCCTCCTGCATTCGCATCCCCCACCTAACCGCCTGTGCTTTCTCCTCGCTCCCCTTTCCCTTCTCCAGAGACGACGTTGATTTCAGCAGCTTCCTATCGCAGCTCGTGCCAGCATTGCCGACGTCATCGCTTCGGGAGGGGAACGGCCGAGGAGGACCAGGACCAACCACCAGCCATGGCCATGACCACCTCCGTCACCGCATCAACGGGGGACTCCAAGGATGTCTCTCCCCAACCAGATAATGAATCGCCCGCAGTCCCCAAAGCCTACCTGTCGGACCTGCGTTTCTGGCGTCGCAATGCTGGGAAGAAGCGACTGCCCTCCCAGGACTTCACCCTGAGGCCAGTCTCCGGCGACGAGGAAGAGGGCGGCGGCAGTGTGGCCGATGCTGAATCGACAGAGTATCGCGTGTACAAACGTCGGTGGTTTGGACTGGTGCAATTGACCCTCATGAATATCATTGTCTCCTGGGGTGTAAGTACATACATCTCATTGCATCAAGCCTGTTATCCCAGATCATCACTCCCCATTATATCAACACGTTCGCATACATGTATACACATAGAGTAAAGCATAAACTAACCTGCCTAATACCAGTGGCTCACCTACGCACCGGTTGCGAGCCATGCTTCTGCCTATTACGGAGTTTCAGAGTCGGCCATCAACTGGTTGAGCACCGCCTTCTTTCTCTCCTTCGTGGTCATCTCGCCTCTGAACATTGTCGTCCTGCACCGCAGCCTCAAGCTCTCGCTCGTCATTTCTGCCGTCCTCATCATCATCGGAAACTGGGTTCGCTATGCCGGGTCTACCTCGCGCAACGGCGGCATCTTCGCTTGCGCCATGGTTGGCGAGATTCTCCTGGGGCTCGCCCAACCCTTTATTCTCGCTGCACCTACACGGTACTCAGATCTGTGGTTCACTAACCGTGGCCGCGTCACTGCTACCGCGCTGATGAGTCTGGCAAACCCATTGGGGGCGGCTCTTGGCCAGCTGATCAACCCTTTTTGGGTGTCAACTTCGGGTGACGTTTCTCCGATGGTGTTGTACATTTCGATCATTGTAAGTTGGAGCTACTCGTTTCTCCTCACCCTTTCGCCCTTCCCTCCTCTTCTTTTTAAGTCGAGATAGAACGGAATCTAACTTGAGGTCAAGTCTACCGCTTGCTGTGTGCCAGCAGTCTTCCTCCCCGCCAAGCCTCCAACTCCTGTAGGCCCAGCTTCAGAGACCCCGAAACTCAGCCTGCGCGACTCCATCCCCGCGCTCAAGTCCCTTGAGCTGTGGCTCATTCTCATCCCCTACTTCGTCTACGTCGGCTTCTTCAACTCCATCTCCACCCTGCTCAGCCAGATGATGACCCCGTACGGCTTCACCAACGACGAGGCAGGCATCGGCGGCGCCATCCTCATCGTCGTCGGCCTCGTCTCGGCGGCCGTCAGCTCGCCCATCCTCGACCGCACCAAGAAGTTCCTGCTCGGGCTGCGCATCCTCGTCCCCACGATCGCCCTCTCCTATCTCGCCTTCGTCTGGATGCCCGAGACGCGCACCATCCCGGGGCCCTACGTCGTCCTCGCCATCCTCGGCGCCGCATCCTTCTCCATCGTCCCAATCGCCCTCGAGTACCTCATCGAGCTCAGCCACCCCCTCAGCCCAGAGGTCACCTCCACCATCGCCTGGGCGGGAGGCCAGCTCTTAGGCGCCATCTTCGTCATCGTCAGCGACGCCCTCGTCGCCGGCCGGGACGCCTCCCCGCCCCGGAACATGAAGAACGCACTCATCTTCGAGGCCGTCGTCGCCCTCGCCGTGGCTGCCCTGCCGCTCTGTCTGGGGCTGTTCGGGCGCGAGGACCAGGTTAGCCTCCGACGAGTGGCGTCTGATGAGCGACCGCCGGCGGCCGAGGACGGCACCGCTTAATGACTGTTTTTCTTTCAACTTCTAAGTTGGGTTTACGCAAATATATGCAACTGGTACATACATACACATAACATACCTCTCTTCCGTATAATGATGACGATGGACATGTATATTTTTCATTTTCTGTCAGGAGGGGGGGCAGGTTTCAGGGCGTTTTTCTTGAGAAGTTAGGCATATATTCTCTCGCATATAATTCAAATGCTCGACCAGGTAGTCGGCTTATCTTAATTCAAATTTGTTTTTCTTAACTCGCTATAAATGCCTATGATGCTTTATCATGCTATCATGCTTACCAAATAAAAGATTGAAGGAGGGGGGGAGCCACGACCTTGACCTCCGTGGACAAAGGTTTTTCCAACCCAGCAAGGAGAACTCTTTCGCTCTTTTCCCTCGCTTTGATGACATCTCCCAATCATGAAATCTCCAGAATCTCCTCCCACTCCTCCCTCAGCTCCTCGAGCTGCTCCCAGACGTCTGCACCCACCTCCTCAAACTCGGCCAGCGACTCGGCCGTAGGGTCCGCGGCGTCGCGCCTCCTCCCCACGCTCCTGCGCAGTATGCCCACGATGCCCTCCTCACCGGCGGCGGCGGCGTCGTCGGCCTCGGGGCCCTCCACCCTTCCCGTCCACCCCCAGCCCTCCACCTCGGTCTTCTTGATGAGCGCCCGCAGCCTGCCGTCGGACGCGCTGCCCCACTTGACGCGGTCCGCCTCGGCGTCGTCCAGCTCCTCCTGGCCCTGGAGGGCGAGCCACGCGGCCGACTTGGCCCCCGTGTACGAGTCGATGGTGTGCCACGGCGAGCCCAGCCAGCGGCTGACCACGATGGCCAGCCGGTACGCCCACATGAGGTACCACGGCACGGGGAAGAAGTCGTTGGCCACGATGCCCGGGTGCGTGAGGTACATCTCGGGCTGGATCTTCTCGTCCGGGTTCTCGTCCTCGTCGAGGCTGAGGAACGACTCCTTGAAGTCCTCGACGGCGGGGAGGTTGTACGACAGCGAGATGTAGTCGGTGAGGCGCTTCGCCGACTCGTAGGGGTGCTCCCGCAGCAGGCCCTGGATGTCGTCCGGGTTGAAGACGTCGCGGTGCGCCTCGATGCTGCTCGACCAGATGATGCGCCCCGGGGCGACGAGGCTCTCCGACGTCTTGGGGCGGGTGAGGAGGGGCAGGAGCTTGCGCGAGAGGAGGTAGTGGCCGAAGACGCATGCGCAGAAGACTTCGCCGAGCTTGGGTTTCGCCGGCTGTGTGTTTTATCAGAGTTAGAACTACTAACCGCCTCGAGTCTCTCTCCTTGCGAAGGGAGCAGCGTGACTGGTGGGACAACGGGGAAAACTCACGTAGTTGTAGATAGGGCGGCCGTTCAGCAGGGCCGTGGGCTTGGGGATCTTGAACGTCGGCCACGTCACAGAGTTTATGAGCCCCTCCGTCATGATGACCCATATGGCCATGGGGTAGTTGACGCCGACCCAAGAGCCGTACGCGGCATTGCAGATGACGCTGTCCAGCCTTGGGATACGGACATTCTGCAGCTCAGCGTCCTGGCCCTGCAAGCCGGCCGGGTTGCTCAGCGGCTCGTCGCATAACCTCTCCGCAAATGCGTAGATGCCCTTGATGTCGCAGAGGTCGAGCTGGGGCGACAGAATATGGATCCTGGAGGCCGTGTCCTCCCAGTTGTACTTCTCGGGGCCGCCAGCGCGCGACACCAGCGCTTTCGAGGTCCGGGCGGCCTTGTTGGCGTGGGCACGCAGGTGCTGGATCGTCTGGGTGGACTTGATGACGGAGCGGGTGGTGGGGATGAGGATCAGGTGGGAGGTGAGCGACCGGGTAGCGAGGAACTCGTCGATGAGGCGCTCACCAATGCCTAGGCCGATGCCGCTGGGCAGGAGAATGAAGGTCAGTTCCGGCGCAGTGACTCTGGCACGAGGACAAACCTGTTGGCACCGGTAATGAGCACGAACAGCTGCTCGTGTGCCGGGGCGGCATCCCATGGAGCTCGGTCTGCGTCCGTCTTGGAGGCCATTCTCGACTGGGAATTGGCCAATTGGAGGTTCGATAGGTAGTAAACAACCGATAGCGTATGGGTATTCGCCGGGTGAGGGAGGTGGAACAGTCTGGGGAGAGGTTACTCGTCGTCGGTCTCGTGTGCCACGGTTTGGCGGTGGAGGGGGATCGTCTGAATGGCGGGACGGAGCGGATAATTAAAGTGCACCATCATGCGTGCTGAATATGGAAGGCACTTATTGATCTGCATCAACCCAAACCTTTCTTCCAAACAGGCACCTTTGCGCTCTCTTTTAGGATACAAGACTTCATATGGGAGCCTGGCTGATGCCATCATGTCAATATTTCATCTGTTTCTATGGTGTCACCTCCAGCATGTACCCCGCCATCGGCACCGTTGCATTCACCCGAACGAGACATCACAGTCTAAGCAGATAATCGCACACGGTGGAATCAAGTTTGCGTGACAACGTTTTTGTTACATTTGCTATTTTGTTACTTCGTGCCCTGATACCCCATACATTATAAAGCTATTCCACGCCATTGTCCGCTGCACTTGCATTGATAATCTCATGAGATTGCTGAGAGTAATAAATGTCCATAACATTCATTTCCTACGCTTCATCTGTCCACACATCTCTCTGCATGCTCATACAACATTGCCCAAATATCGTATATATAAGTACCATATACGCTGGCATGCTTACTCCCTAGCCTTGGTCAGGCCTTCGCGGACTGCGGCCAGAATCAGGTCCTTGGCGATCTCCACCCCGTCAGTGGTACCGATAATCTCAATAGCTTCATCCTTGGCTTGGTCTCGGGGGACTTGAATCTTGCAGTTGCTCTGCTTACGGATGGAGTTGACCTTGGATCCGTTAGGTCCAATAACGTATCGGTAAGTCTTGGGGTCAGGAAGCACGAGGTAGCCGGTCGCGTCGTTCTTCTGCGCCTGCTCCAGAGCCTTCTGGATGGCCTCCTTGGCCTTGGCAACGTTCTCAGGTGTGCCGCGCAGGACCCAAGGAATCTCGCCGTCCTCTCCAGCGGCCGTCTTAAGGACCTTCCAGGAATGGGCATCAGCGGTAGCATCATCATCATCGGTGATGAGAGGGAGGGCTCCACCATCCACACGGGTTGATGTGTCGGGCTTGGCAGGGAGAGGCTGCCCGGCGTGGTCGACAGTTACCTGATGGTTGTTGCGAAGCTGGCGGAAGAACTGCCCACCGTTCGAGATGGCGTGGTGCACGTTACGTGGGACCTGGATGGTCTCGCCCTTTTGCGACTGAACAAGCTCCAGGATGTGGGCTTTGACAGCCTCGAGGTTCTCGGGACGACCAGTCACCTTCACGCCGGTCTGGCCACCTCCCTGGCGGGGTACATCAATCGAGACGGCGAACTTGGCCTCCAACTGACGCTTCGTGTCTCCGCCACGTCCAATCAATGAACGGTGCTGCTCAACGGGAACGTCAATAACCTCTGTCACTTGGCTCTCACGTTCAGCCACAATCTCCTGGATGCGCTTGAGGATGTTGGCCACAACCTCAGTTCGGCCTTCAATCTTGATCGAGTTGCCGTCAGCATCCTGCTTGGGGAACTGGATCGTGCGAGCAAGCTCGCGTCGATCATCTGAACCACCAGCCTTGACCACGATATCACGCAAGTTAGAACCTGAAAAAAACGATCCGTTAGTTACCATCACCCAATATGACAAGAAAGGAAAGGGGGGGGAGGGGGGTGCACATACCGCTGGCTCCAATCAGCGCCTTGTGATGCTTCTTATCAACATCAATCGTTTGCACGATGGTGTCATCGAAAACAGCTCGCTTGGCTTCCAGGACCTTCTTCGCGTTTGCCACCTGAGAGGCTGTGCCCTTGACGACGATGTCCACGATGTCGGTATCGCGATCAGCTGGAACGTCGATCTTAGCACCAGTGGCCTGGCGCAACTCATCAAGCGCAGCACCGCCTTGGCCAATGAGTGAGCCAACCTGCTTCTGCTGAACAGACACAGTGGCAGTGTGGGAATGGTCCTCTAGGTACTTGAAGAGCGAGAAGATCTCATCACGAGCTTCATCGGCTCCCTTCCTGGGGCCACGAATGACGACTTCGTCAGCAGCCTGCTGGCGGCGCGGCTTTTCAGCCTCGCTTGAAGCATCGGCGTCCTCTGTCTGGTTCTTGGCGGAGCGTGGGAAAAAGATGAGCACTTTGTATCGAGTCTGCAGGCGGTTGATTTGAGCACCCTGAGCTCCAATAAGTTCACGGTGGAACTTGGGGTCGATCTTGAGGGTGTGGGTAGTCTCATCATCCAAGGTACGGCCAAGAGCCTGGATGTGGGATCGTGCGGACTCTGCCTTGGCCTTGGGGCCCTTGAGCTCGACCTTGCCATCCTGCACCTGGATTTCAACGTCGAAGCGGTCACGCAATTCCTTGATGTTGCTTCCACCCTTACCAATGAGATGATTGGCGTACTTCTGAGGGAAATCGAAGGTCAGGGTGAATCCGCGTTCCTTATCATCCTGCTTCTCCTGCTCCACAAAGGCCTCAGCCTTTGCGGCAAGAGACTTGACGGCAGACTCGGGACCGCGGAGTGTGATGGTGGTGCCGACCTTGGTAACGCGGATGGGAATCTGATCTGCCGCCCGGCTTTCCTGCTCCTTCTTGATGAAACGCCTGAGTCTCTCGTGGAATTTGGCGGGAACGTCAAGGGCAGCACTGATGACCTTCTCCTGTTTGTTGATCAGGTCCAGAATGTGCTTCTGGGCTTCTTCAAGGCCCTGCCTGAATGTGCGAACTTCAGCATCAGTGGGCTTGGTTCGTGGAAGGGCATAGGGACCGTCAGCAGGGTCGGCGCCCTCGTAAACCAGAAGGACAGGGGCATCGGTCTCGCCATCCCGAGGCACAACGACGAATACACCGAAATCCTTCTTCACCTTCGAACTCACATTGTTACGCAAGTGCTGGTGGAAGAAGGGGTCGATAGTAACTGGCTGCACTCGGGAAGGAGGGTGGCCATTGATGATTCCAGTGATTTCTGACTGGGCGCGAATGGCATTCTTACCCTCACGAGAGTAGAGCTCCCACGGAAGAGCATTTTGTTCGGAGAACGGAGTGTTGATGTGTGTGTTGTGAAGCTTCTCGAGACGCTCAATCTCCTTTCTCTCACGGAGGTAGCGGGTGACCAAGCCAGCATGCACAGCTGCACCACTGGGAGCATTGCGATGAACCCTTCCAATGTCGATGTTGGACATCTGCATACCCATTGCGAGGTCCATGGCCTTGTCAAGACCATCCTGGACCTGATTTGCCAGACCAATGATGGTGACCAGATCATCTTCTTCGTCCGAAGGAAGCAAGATGGCGCAGCCAGTATCTTCGAAGAAATCGGCAGCGGGGACACCGCGGTCGCCAATGATGAACTGGTGGCGACCTCGCTGGATAGAAAGCTGCTCCATCTGCAACTGTTGTTGGAGCTCTGCTGCCTGGCGCTCAATCTCAGCACGAGCCTTCAGAACTGCCTCCCGGTCACCAGCAAGCTGGATGTAGCTTTCCTCCGAGGGGGCAAATTGAGGCCGCTGGGAAGCTCCAATAATGGGAGCAGGACTGAAGACCTGGTGTGGTGGCACGCGGATCTGGACGCCATTGCTCTCCTCAAGAGCCTGGGCGCGGGAGTTCTGAGGACCAGCAATGAAGGGGAAGAGAGCAGCTGGAATGCCTCGAACCTTGGTCTGGACATTGGCGGACCGCTCGCCGGCAATCTTCAAGATCTCGTTACGAGCAGAAGCAGCGGAGAGAGTGTTGCCTTCAACAATGACATCAATAGTAGCTTCATCGTCATCGTCGTCCAGAGCTCGGGTTTCCTCCATCTTCGGGAGTTGGATTTTGGCACCAGTCTTTTCCTGGAGACTCTTGATCATGGAGCCTCCTCGTCCGATGATATGGGCACGGGATGACAAAGGAATCGGTACCTTGATGGAAGTCTACACCAATTAGTATTGGCACTTGTAAATTCTGGGGGGATGACCAACGTACCCTAGTTCCAATCTGAGAAACCAGATCCTTGAGTGCCTGTTGAGCAACGTCTTGAGGTCCAGTAGCATCGAACTTGAGGCGGCCGTTGGAGGCACCGCTCATGGAAATGTTGGCGCGAGACTTGCGGTTAATATCCTTGATGATGTCGGCAATAGGTCTCCTTAGCTGGCCCCGAGGCATAATGTCCTGAGGTTCAAGTGTGATGGACTCAACATTGCGACCAGGGATGAACATGGCGGGAGCAGGCCCTTGAGAGACAGCGCTGGGACCAGATCCGTTGGTCTTTCCATTGGTGTTGGTCTTTGCGCCCCAAACCGGCGGGACGTTGGCGCTCTTGCCTTTGGAAGCACCGAGTTCTGGGAAGAGCTCGTGGCTCTGGGTGTCTAGACGCTCCTTGGGGCGCTGGGGTTCGGGCTGCTTGGTGGTTGGGGGAGCACTGTGCTTGTGGACGGGGAGGTCCTCATCCTCAGCATCTTCGACAGTAACACTGTGGGGGTCCTGGGCGTGCTTCTGGAGAAGCTTCTGGGCAGCAGAAGACTCTCCAGTGGCGACATCGGCAGGGGAAGCCATGGCAGCTGGTGTTGTTCGGATCAGGCAATTTGGGTTCGGGGTGGGAATGATTATTAGCTGGCACGATGGGTTAGCTACAGCCTATAGCATTTGGAATAAAAGGAGCCATTGGGGTATAGTTGTGAGATGTTGAGAATGAGGGCAGCATCATGGCAATGGGAGTTCACTCACGAGACCGGGGACCTGGAGGGTGGTGCGACTCCGGACAAAATATCACTAGAGAGATGCGGTATAGGAGCTTCAGAACAGCAGTCAGGGAGGTCTAGTCTGCGGTTCTAGAACATGGTCCAAGAGGCCTGCAGACAGCAATAAACCGGTAACCAGAAGGAACAACCAGAGAGAAGGGAGCCGAAACCACCGTGGGAGGATGGCACCGGGGGAAAGAAAAGCGTGGGAGGATACGTTGGTGGTGTGCGAACCTTG